TTTTGAGTTTGTAGTTATTTCTAATTTTCGTGCAGCAGAGCGACTAAAAATCATGGCGGGAACAGTGGAAAAAGCTGGATTGGACTTACCAGACTTGAGCTGCTTGGCTAACGGTCTCTTCCTGTGCGATTACTTTCCATTGTTACGGCAGGCAAGACAAGAGCGTAAGTACATTTGAATTCACAAATAAATCAAGTTGATGTGGGGAACTTCTAGGCGTTTTATTTACCCTCAAAGCCTCAGTGCTGTTCCTCGTTGCTTTCAATCTCAGCATCCCAAACATTCTAAGAGATGACGATCTAGAGTTGAAGGAGCTCTCTATGGTGCCGTATGAAGAGTACCTCCTACGTGGTGACCGGGTGAATCATCTAGAGTTGCACCCCTTGATCGACTCGAGGCTTTTTACGCCGTCCCAAGAAAGAGAGCGGGTGCTATGGCTACTCACAAGAAATTCATCTTCTCAAACATCTACCTGGTGCCGTTTTTTAAAGGAAAACATGGGACACGAAGATGCTGCTGAAGATGGATTTATGGTACAGATCTAAGGGTACTAGAGCAATTGACGAACAGGTTTCGTACACGTGGCAAGCTTCAGCAAGTCGAGCATTTCGATAAATGCCTTGACGATTTGAAGACAGATTAAGGCTTTTCATCCTGATCCATCTTGTTCGTTGGTAAGCATCTTCGTTCCTTGGCGAGGGAGGTCCGTTTTTCAATGTTGTAGGGAAAACACTACAAAGTAAGACGTAGTCGTCGAAAGAACATCTTGAGGATCCGTTTGCGTGGCAAGCTCCTCTAAACAGAAACCCATCTGACACGAATGCGTGGGCTCACAAACTACCCTTGGTACCAAGAATTTCCACGGAGTGCTGGAGGTCTGCTCATATCAGCGGGCATTCAATACTTTGGGGACGAAAGGGTGACCATCAACGAAACTAACTCATTGCAGGGATCCTTGAACAAGCTTGTCGTGAGCCCATCATCTCCTGCAAGTACAACCGGGGTTTTTATGTCTCGAGGATGAACAAGGGCAACTTTTATTTTGTGTGCGAGTTGCATTGAGTCTCTTTGTTCACACGCTTGTACTTTGACGACAAATTCATTGTGGTTGTAATAAAGGGGACGAAGATGAACAACTAGTTGTACTAGTGTGAAGATAGGTTCATTTTTGTCCTGTCGTTGATATTATCATTCAAAGGCAAGGCCACATGAACTTCTTCAGCATTCTACTTGTCAACTCTGTTTTCCTCCTCCTCCTCCTCCTCCTCCTTCAACTTACTTGCTGCACCACCAGAAAAACCAGGATCAAAAAACATAATCGCAGCGGACCCCTTCGCGTATTTCGAGAAGAACGTAGATACTAGTCGAGTAGTAGTTGCGCCGGCAGGGACCAAGAGAGCCTTTGTGTGGCCGCATTGGTTGGCCCGATACTGGTCCGTTGCGATGGAACACGAGTATTTTGGACAAAAGATCGCGTTGTTTATGGGCTGACTGAGATGATAGAAGTTTGAGTTAGCTTAGATCTTTATGTGGTTAGTTCAGACCACCTACATGATAAGATGTAGATGTTGATGTATCTAGAAGTGCGTCGAGTTTAGAAGTGTATGATGAGTTTTATGCTGAGAGTGTTTCCTTCTCAATTGATGTTTGAACTACGTAAGTTTGAATTTGAAATTTGAGTTCCAAAGGGAAATCCGTAAATTTTCAGTTTTATGTACTTTTTTTCAAATTTATTTTCTGATCGACAGGAAATTTTCTGTATTGTTCGCTTCTTGTGAGTTTCCAACCTTCGTCAGTCGACTGTAGAAAAGCTGCTCTGGTATTGCTTGGAAGTCCACTCATGATGATTTGTGGCAGTATCTGTACATCTTGATTCTGAATATCAAAGTCTTTAGAAGATGTTTAGAAAGTTTTGAGACTTTTTTAGATTTGGAGGTAGGACTTCTCAGCTTCAGGAGGGTAAAGTACTTGTATGATACATTTGGTATCTTCGATTGTGGTAGTTCTGTCACTCAACGTTCATGGCAGTCTTAGATTAGTGTGTTCTTCTAGTATTGCTAGCTTTAGACATCATGATGATGATGGTTTCCCGATGATCGTGCCGCTCTTGTTGTAGCTCCTTTTCTTTTTAGCCCGTCACAGACTTGCTGCACTAGTGTTGCCAGCACGTTGCGCTAAACCCACTACCGCTATGCCCACTAAGTACTGTACGAAGGAACTCTCACTCTAACTAACATTTCCTTTTCGCTCGGCACATGACCGTTGGTCTCGTCGTTCCGGTGTATTTTGGCTTAGCAGCAACTGCGTTCCAAGCCATTGCCGATGGCACGCTCGCGAAAGACTACATTAAGGATACTTGGGTTTATTTAGGTGCTTCCCTTACCGTTTGTTACCACGGCTCTCGTCCGAAGGGTGGAGATAAGCACTTAACTAATGGCCCTTCTTGGGCCCTATCTCTAACTAAAGCACCAGACGGGATTACTCGAGCGTGATCATGCTGATCAATGCCTGTTTTTTAAGTATCTGGAGTTCGAACTGCGTCGACGCCTGGTCCCAAACAGAGAAGACGAAACTGCTGCAATTTCACGGCATTCTTCCCTCGATCGCGCAGCGTCGTCAGGCTTCCATTGTGCCGCAACCGAGAAAGCGGTTCCAGGGCGTGCGAATCAAAAGTCCAATCAGTGGGGATGAAGGGGAGCTCTACTACTCCCAGTTCGTCAAGAATTGTAGACTGTTGGTCTCCAACGCGGTCTCTTGCCTTGCGTTCATCTCCGTCATGGTAGCGGTCGTGCTCATATCGGCTTTGCGTTTGTTACGAACTTCTTACCATACTAGTAAAATAACGTTAGAAAAGACGTAGAACGAGGTAAGATGACAGGACATGATATTAGTTTGTTCTCGTTGTAATGTCCTCATGATACTCGTGGTCCTTGATGTTAGGTAGTTTGTAAGGAAACTAGTATTTCACAGGTACTGCTACGGAATGGAAAAGAAACAGCACTCACGAGAAGACAATCTTTTTAAAGACAATCATGCAGGTGATTTGGGGGTATCTGATTGACAAGGTACTACTGGTCCCTGTAAAGCTAAGGTTTCCTCACCACTATTCTTTTCGAGGTGCTCATCTCTAAGTTTGAAGATAGCGAAGTATTGTCAAATGACCTTGATGGGATACGAATTCAACTACGCGCAGTCTTTAGTTGGCTGTATCAATGCGTGCGTTATCCTCGTTTTCAACCAGATCTATGCAGTGATTGGGCTAAAACTGACGCAATTCGAGAATCATCGTCTCTACTTAAGGCAACTACATCAACTAGCAAGCAAGAGAATATCTTCATCAACGTCATCCTTGTGGGGGCTGTTGAAATTTTCTACTGCTTGCAAAACATAAATATCCACAAGCCAAATCCTATTCAAACAATACTAAACATCATCTAGAATGGCATCAAGTTTGTGCCAACACTGTGCCATCTAATCCACTCCACTTTCCTGGACAGCTATGCAACGAAAACGGTGGCCTTCAATTTCTTGAACTGCTACTCCTCTCTCATCTACTATGCCTTCTTTATGTCCGCAGTGGAGGAAGAGGAGCATAAAAATACTAGTCTACTTCTCAGGAGCCTGACGGAGTCATCTACTTTCCCTGCTAGTAGTACAACCTCAGCGTCAACATTTTCAACATCATCGACATCAATTTTCGACAATTCATCGTTGCATCGGAATATAGGACTTCTGCTAGGCGGTGAATGGTGGCAGTTATACGAAGAGAACAGTAGCAACATCGTTACAACATCTTCAGCCATGGCGTCAAGTATACCAACAATACCAACATCTACTAGTACGTCAACTTCTAGTACGAGAAGACTTCTTAGCAGTGACGATGAGTCAATTTGTGCGCAGATCGAGCCTTCGCTGATCTTCGGCGTAACATGCGCGGTCGGATTGACCAACAGATTACTGGTTTCCTTGATTTTCGTGTTTGCGTTTCGCAACGTAGTGGAGCTAGCAAAACCAGTGTTCATGCAATGGTGGAGGGAAAGGGCAGAGAGGTTGCAGAAAGCACACGTAAAAGGGGCTAGTGTTGTAGAGTTAAGCCTATAATTAATAGAAAAAATAACTATTTCATAAGTAATACTAGTGGCAAGAAACATCGATAGGCTAGTAAGTACTGTTCAGAGTTAGTTAGACCTCTATGTAACTGTATTGAAGGGAGAAATCCGAGCGAGAACGGCCCTGATATGAAAATGTTCAATGACTCTTGAGTCATCTTTTCCTCTGAGTTGAAATCTTCTAACACAAGGCGATGACGAGTTTGCAAATGACCTAGGCCCTGCTCCTCTAGGTGAAGTAGCTGACGGAGGCCCGACAAAGAATCCAGGACCAATAAGTCAAGAGATCGCAGTAGATGAACCAAGAAAAGAGAAAGGCGGGATTACCACCAATCCTTGTGCGGCATCACCGGAAGATTCCAAATCAGTGGAAGATGAGCGAGTGAAGCGACCTGCTGATTATGATGAAAACATGGCAATGGCTCTTGGGTTTACTAAGGTTATTCCTCTGGTGAATGAATGAATGGCTCTTATTGTAGTACAGTAGCTCTCTTCTTCGCGTTCCTCCACTCACTTGTTCTCATCTTCGGATACTTACCTAGTAGTACTCCACGTAGTCTACAGTTTGCTAATATGCAAAGGAGCTGGGGGAAGCCAGAGTGCTGCAACGTCAAGACACGCGAATTCGAAAGGAAGGCATTGTTGGACTCATAGCTGGAGGAAAAAGTCCTACATCCAACAGTCCGATGTCGTTTAAGGCCTTTTACCATATAAGTCTAATTATCTGTCTTCTGAAGTGTTGTGTTGAATCATGACATGTCACAGAAACACTGTCAGACCACGTCTCTACGGTCACTATGAAAGGTGATAACAGGGACATTAGCATGCATACACATAAGATTGACATCTTTTCCTGAAACATCGTGGTGGAGCTGTGTAACCTTTAATTTTTCGAACCGCGGGTCCAGAGCAGGGAGCAAGAGTAATAACGCAGTGGACCCATCACTGAAAACGAAATCGCCGACGACCTCTATTCCCATGAATGCAGATGGTGCTTCGATCATTTTAAGAGTTGATATTTGTACTTGCACTTAAACTTATAATATATCATCAACCAACATCAAGGACAACACATACACAGAGGGAGTACTGCTAACACATACATTTAGGTGCTTTCTTGTCCACCTTGTCCACCGTACCCCAACGTCTCTACGGACACCATAAACGATGTAGTTATGATAGTTGTAGGGAGAAGCGCATGCCGCGCTTTCCTTCTTCTCGATCCCCTTCTAATGCTATCTTCCTCACTATCCACGGCCAACATGATGGAGCAGAGCGGCAGAAAAGCACCGGTGACGAAGATGGCTCCGGTGGTGGAGCAGAACGAAGTACAGCGAGCAAAAGCGGCACTGATTAGGCAAGTGCGTGAGAGCGTGCGAACTGAGCGCGTGCAGTACATACTGCACACTGCACACAGACAAAGTTTACAAGAGAGCTACGGGGAGAAGGAGGTTGCATTTGACGGCAGCATTGAGTTAAGGCTTACGCTTAGTAAACCTAATGATCAATCTTCAGATAAACCAACGACGGACACGCACATCGTGAAGAAGATTCGTCTTCAGGAGTCGTGTCAAGTCATTTGCGTAATCAGAAAAAATCTTGAAGCTGTTCAATGCGATATGTAAATTTTTGTACTACGGACGAAGCATCGGCACGATGTCTCCTGTGGTCTCTTAACAAGATGAATTAGTACCGAATCTTGAAACCTCCTACAGCCTTCTGCTTCGTGAGCTTTTTGATCCATGTTAGAAATAAGAAGACACTCTTTCAAAAACCGAATGTTGATGTCTCTGTCTCTCAAAAAGACGATGAGTGCTTAGATTCTTGCAGTCATTCTAATGAAGGACTTCACGGAAATTGCTGTGATGTTCGGTTTCCTCGTTCTGTTCAGCATATCCTGTCCTCTGGTGGCGATTTTGAGCTTCCTAGCCCTCTTGTGCGAAATCTACACCGACGATTGTTACGGCGGCTACCGGTGCTGTATAATGTAGATTTAATCTTAAAGAAATATATGTAGATAATTTTCAAAGCACTAAATAAAACAACCGGTTCGTTTTTACCTCTAGCGTGTAGCCCTTCCAACAAAATAATTTTAGAGAAATATTAAATTATCGCCGGTTAACTTTTTCTTCGCTATTACAATCTTTGCGTGAGATCCACCGTGTAGACCATCTATGACGCCCTTAAGGCAGTCTGCGCTGAACTTTGTGCGAGAGTACTTGTATTGTATTGTGTTAAATAATTCCTTCAGATGAACATATTGAGTAGACTACTTGTTCTAGATAGGTCCGACGAACGGCACTACATTTTACCACTCTACTTTGAGATGCCTGCTGCCTCCTAGCGTCCTGAGGAGCAAGATAAACCAAGTATTTGTGATTTCACATTGGAAGAGGGTTCTTCTCCTAGCAAGGCAAAAGACCTCAACTACTTGTAACTTTTCACCCTAGTATCTCTAACTGGGATAACCTAAGTTGCCATGATTCTCTAGCAGGGAGGAAAAGCTTCTCTTCCTAAACACTATGACATGAGAAAAAATGCAAAGAAGGAGCAAAAAAAGAAGTAAAATGAGGAAAATAATCCTCAAGAAACGACCTCTTGCCAGGCACATCAATCAATCAATCATGATCTCTATTTCTAAAATTGGAAAATCAAGTACCTGGTACGACGCCCAGTGCCAGTAGGTGCTGAGTTGGGTATCGGCATATGGATAGGGGTATTCAAAGCCATAGTGTGGGCATCGATTCCGTTTAATGGGTGCATGCTAGTTGTCACGGGAGAAGTCTACAAATTTTCTTTATGACGAGTCATGCTAGTACAACGATTTCATCAGTAGCAGGCCATGCGCGACGAGCTTGAAAATATAAATAATAACCTCAATCAATAGCGGTCGCTATAATTTTTGTTATACTTAATGATAACGCAGCAGAGCTGCGTCTGCGTGCTAGAAGCTTTATTTCCGACTTTTTCGAGGAAAAGGCATGCATTGATAAATCGTGGGCTTCATTAAGATTAAGATGAAGATTCTCATCTAATATGTGCGGTAGAGTACGTTCTGGGCAAGAATCCGAACCCCATAGCGGTCTGGTTCATGGTCACGTTTTTTCTCTTGTTATTCAAGATTTTCGTGGAGAATTTATGGGCAAAGAAGTATAGCTAAATAAAAGTACTGGAAGTGAATGCAAGCCTGCTTATTTAGGTTTTTGCAAGAGAAGTTTGTTGCTGACAACAGAAGAGGTGATGGAAATGTGGCTTTTTGTTGTGCGTCAACACCAACCAACCCCTCAACAAAATCTTACCCTGTGGAACGAAGGTGAGTCAATTCTTATCCCAGTATTTTTACGCTCACTTAATATGGAAGGTGCGGCGCTCATTTAATATAGCTCTAAAAAACCTTACCGCGTCTCTTCGTGGGGGTTCGACCGGTGACATGTCAGGCCTCGACCAAATTTTATCCGCTCGGTTGCAACTGCATGTGGATAGACTGACTTTGCCGGTGATGGAGAAGAAAACGGCACTTGTTGGGACCGAGGAAATTTATGGTCAACTGCTAGCTGTATCTATCTTTCTTAACATGTCATGTTGAAAACAGTGGAAATTAATTTGCCATCCGTAGAGAACAAGAGGCAAGGAATGAATGAGAAAGGGTTAAATAACGTTTAATGAATGAATCTTCTATCCATATCTTTCTCAGCATGATCTCACATTTCTTAATGAATGAATCTTTCTCAGCATGATCTCTTGTTTGGTAGAAGTATGAGTATCCCTCTGTAATTGTAAGTAGTTCATATCGTGGAATAAGAAAGATGGATCCAAGCTGAGTCTAAGAGATGACCGATTTTCGGGTTTTACGATGGCCTAATGGAAAGACGCGTTCTGAAGCAGAAGCAGCGACAACAGCAACAAGAAGGGCGGCTTGAGTGCAGAAACAGAAGATGACTGCAGATGCGACTCTATGCCTATGAAGACAGTAAGGCAGTCGAATCTGTGCAGTCTTAACTCCTATCTACTAGGTCCATGAACCCGGCGACTTCAGAACTTCCTATCTACTAGGTCTGACTATAACAATACAGCAGAGACATCGAACAGTCCCGCTGCTAGAGAGTGACATCTGGTTGGCGTGCTGTCTCTGTGTGACTCCGCAATCGGTTTGATTTTATGTTTTATAAGGGAGGCAGCATTTAGGCCTAACTCAAAAAAGAAACGTAGACTACGTCCTTCAGGGAGATACCACGCCGAAAGTACGCAGGTAGGTTTTGACTTATCGGAACTCGCTCGCACTACAAAAAAGAAAGGGGCTCGCGAGACGAATGGAAATGGAGTCGCTAAGTCCCTATCCCTTCATACGAGTCTTGTTAGTTCTTGAGTTTAACTGACGCCACTCCTTCTAAGAGTTCTGTCTACTCATAGTTAGCCTTGTGCGATTTTCTGCTTCTAGTACGCTTTATTTAGGTCGACTGCGTAGTACGTACTAACTTTAACTTAGTTGATGCGTACTAACTTTGTTGCTAGTGCTATTTTCTTAATTTTTGTTCCTGGAACCTACCAGAACGAAGGCGTGAAAGAGTGTCGAATGGACAGGTAGAACATCTAGAATTTTCCGCAAATGCTGCCTCTAAAGTCTCTAGCATCAATTCTGGGGAAATACGGAGGTTCAACATAGTGACACTGGATACTACTCCGCGTATTGATAAAGAAATGATAATGATATTAACAATCAAATGACAAATGGGAAAAAGTGAACACTTGCTTTTTTTGAGGTGGCTGAGGACAAACTATCTTGGTGTTTTCGTTAGCTTCAAGCATGATTGTTTATTTCTGTAAAGTGGTTGATCGCTCTACTCGTGCCTGATTCGTCCCGGCAACGTGGCTTGGCCACAAGTTCGCGGACCCTTGAACCTTGAGCCTTAAAATGTTCAGCATGATGAGTGCAGAGCGAGAGAGGTGGAGGTTCCGAACATACCGATGGCCATAAATAGGTCTTTTTCTCCTCAAAGATCCCCTAAACCCTAAAGACCGAGAAGATCGCTTTGGAACGCGAAGATGGATGTGTAACGCGAACATCAAGATCAACGAAGGCAAAGGAGACGAAAAAAATGTCATGTTGTAAATGTGGTCTCTTACTCGTTGAACTTGAATCTAAGTAACTTGAATCTAACTCTCTAACTCCTGCCCAATGCATGAATCAAAACCTCTTATAAAAATCTTGATTTAGAAGTCACTGTCAGGGTGTAGTCGTGTTGTCGGGAGTGTCACTGTAGTGTTGTCGTAGTGTAACTTGTTCTACCCCTTCATCTAGTACGCAGAAGCCTTGTGTCACAGGCACTACATCAAACAGAACTTCTAGAGGAAAATGACGGCATGCTCAACATCATCGTCGTCCGCAGTTGCTTCCCCAACATCCTCGTCTAAAAACATGACGATGACCACCGAGACCGGTGAAAGTGCGGCACCATCAAAGGACACAACTGCTGAGTTACGCAAACTCCAAGAGCGAGCGCGCGGACGACAGAGCTTCGTGTATCGCGATCGGAAGGTCTACTCTTGGGATCAATCGATGGAGGAAGTGAATATATACGTGGACCCGCCACCAGGAGTGAGCAAGCACGAATTGGACATCCAAATAAAGCCAAGTCATGTGCGGATGGGCTTGAAGGGGAATCCGCCGTTCATAGACGAAGACTTGTTCTCTTTTTAAGGCCAAAAATCCATCCTTCTTTGTTTTTCTCCTTCTTTTTGTTGCTCTGCTTCAACAACATCTACTTTTTACTATAAGAAAGGCTTTCTTACAGTGAAAGATGAGGAACTTTCACTTCCTCCACTTCTTCTAAGTCCTTTTACTGACGTCATACATCGTCGTCGCTAGTTTTTCTTCTTCACCTTCGGAGAAATTCTAATCCCAATGCGATACGAGTTGCAGCTTTTGGATGATTGAGGATGGCGAACTGCACATCCAGCTGGGGAAAGTTCGGAAGGCGGAGACATGGGGAGCTGTCTTTAGAGCGCACGGCCGTTTGGATGCTTACACGGAACATTATGAGCACTTGATGTGGAGTTGATAACATTAACTGAGTGTTTCCTCTGATCTCTCCTAAAGCACTCCCCGCAGTGCCCTTTTCCAATACTGTTGAATAGATACCACAAGCCTCGGTGTTCGTCGCTGACTTTACTCAGGTCGCGTATACATCCTCGGAGTCAAGCCAGGTGCCGGGGGGCTTTGATGTGCAGGATTCACAACCTAACCTAACCAGGAAAAACGAGCTTGGCGGTCTTGTGCCCAGTGTGTGACAACAACTAAAGTCTTGCGAGGAACGCTCCTTCTTCATCTTGATATCCGTTTTCTCATACTTTTACCCACATTCTTCATCTTGATATCCGTTTTCTCATAGTTTTACCCACATTCGTCATCTTGATATCCGTCTTCTCATAGTTTTACCCACATCCATAACTACTCTAAGCAAAAGAGGTGCAAAAGAAGCTGATGTTAGAACGGTTTGGCGAAGAGCATCCAGGTTTTGACTTCTCAGGTGCGGAATTTAGCGGTCAAGCACCAGACCCACGTGCGTTTATGGGAGGAGTCAAGTACAGCTGAGGAATCCACGTGCGTTACATAATGACTTTTTTCTCAAGAAGAGAGAGAGTTTCTTGAATTCTAAGGCCAATGAAATTGATGAGGACAGAACGACGGTTAATATTAGTCCCACCACTACAAAGAAATGGGGCACGCGAACACGACTTTCACTACCCACTGATGTCAGGCGGAAATGAAAGTGAACAGAGCCAGGGCATGCTCCGGGTAGCCTGATTTCTCATCCGACAAAGAACATGGATGTTGGCCAAGCCACTTTCTCTTTCGTCCAGAGATGGTTGATATTCCATGTGTAACTTTCTCACTAGTGCTGCGTAAACTCCCAACTATACCTCCTTTCCCTCACCTTTCGTCCGTCACCCACAATCGCGCAGCCTTTCTCTGTCAAGAGGTACAAGAGATTCTTAGTGTTTTTGAAAGAACAGAAAAAGTGTTCTACTAAGTACTTAACTTAAATCGAGTGAGGAAAAAAATATTGAAGTGTAGAAACTTCTGTAAAGGTTGGTCGACTATAGATGAGGACCTCATCTTAATGAAACTCTAAGTCTGTTCGTAGAGTGTGAGAGGAGGAACAGACAGTCCCGTCTTATAAATGATTGAAGCAAGAAGAGAGAGAGAGCGAGTTGAAAGACATGATGTTGTTCAAAGATCTCTGAAGATTAGTCCAAGATGAGCGAAGCGTTCCTCTGTTAGTTCAGGTACGAAAGATGAAAAGTCTGGGGAGTGAGTGTGAATCGCTGTCATCGAAGAATCTGAGGAGTGAAAAATCTTCTGTCCAATCAATGGAGCGCATCTTGTTCTAAATAACTTCTGAAGTTCATTCTCCTACTCCCTTGTGCGACGTACAACAAAGAACTATACTAATTTACAATACTAGAAGATCTGAAAAATTGCTGTACAATGAATCTAACACCATGTTGTTGACTTGTTCGATTCAGGTTTGTTTCCCGCAAATCAGACCCGCCCCCTGACTAAGTATTGATTCATCTCTTCTCATGTGCCTTTCCTCAACCTTTGAATCGCAAAGAATTTCATGAGCCTTTCTTCTACCTTTTAGAAAGTAAGATCTAGTTGTACATCAGAAAATGGGTCGTGCCGTTCAGCGTACCTCTGATGGCTCTCCGGGGCAGAGGAGCAAGAGCTCCACGGGCGACAAAGGTGGGAAAGGTGGGCTCGGCGGTGGCGGAAATAGAGGCCTGGAAAGCTCGATTCTAACAAGAAAACGGAATCTGGACATGGCCGCTAGTAATCAGTTGGGCATGGCTTCCTTGGAGGACGAGCATTTGATGAAAAAGAGTTTGCCAGACGTGAGGGTGATCCTAGAAGCTGCAGTGACCCTACACAACGTGGTTCCTGATGACACGGAACTGAGTCTTTCAGAAATGGAAGACACTCACACGAACACGCTAGACTTTGCTGCTGCCACTCCTAGAGGAGAAGGAGAGGTGGGAGGAGATGTCGGATCTCCGGTGCAACCTCCATCATCGCCAGGACCGGAAGGAGGGATATTAAATCAAGGAAGCGGCATTTCTACGGCAGGAAGTGGCGAAGGAGCTACAACAACTGCCGCGGGAGGGGATCAAGAAGCGCCAAGAGTTAGGTTTTCGCTAGAATCCATTACGACAAGAGAGCAAAGTCGTGACAGTAGTCCAGATGCTGCTGGATTAACAAGTAGCTCTTTTTATAGCAGTAGTCCTGCTGTGTTGACTCCAGTGGCCGCACCAGGCGGCGGCGACACTACAACTAGTTTTAACACTCCTTTCCTTGGAGCAACTTCATCTGCAGCAGGAGGTGGAGAAATCGGAGCAGGAGCAGAAACGCAATCAGAAACGCAGTCAGTGTTGTCCGAGCAAAGTGACGCTTCTTTCTACAACGTCTACGACGACTTCTTCCACGTCACGGCCACGAGTTTGAGGGATCGCTTCTGCCGCATCTTGATCCGGCACAAAAACAAGGAGAAAGAAGTGTTGATGGAGGTTTTAGATCTCTTCCTGGATGAACGAGACATAAAAGACCCTCCAAGGACTATATTCACCTGTCCGGTCCCCTCCGAAAGCGGTACGCCAGACCGACAAAACATCAAGGAAATGGCGGCGTTCATGATGGAGGTACTTGTTCTACTTGCTTCGAAGTAATCGGGATTATATTTATACTATAGTTTCGATTTAATATACTTAGTTGATTATATACTATAGTTTCGATTTGATAAATATACTTAAGCCTAGTTGTTTACTAGGGCGGAAATAGCAGCGGAGTTCATGAAGATGTGGGTACTCTCACTACAACTACTCCCGTTCTTTGCGGTAGTTTTTACCCAACCTGATGATAAGAATAGAAGTTCAACAAGTTGATAATAGAAGATACAAGTTTTTGCTTGAACTTGATACTTAATCTTAATGTCAAACTCACTGTCTTGTGCCACATTTTTTTCAGAAAATCAACATTCTGGACGAGCTGCAGAAGGCAGAGTTGGCCCTAGACCCAAGATGGCCAGTGAAGTTGGCGCTTTACAAAATCAATCGAGAAAAGGAGATCCGCAGGAAATTAGATGGAGACACCTGCCTCCCGTTCAAGTACTTGGCTCCTTTGCTCGAGTACTTCCCAAAACCGAAGATGCCGAAAAAGGTGAAAAACCAAGATGCCTAAAGATTTGAAAAAATTATTCATGACGGATGTAGGTGTTCCTTATAGTGGACCTTTGATATTATGACACAGAAAATGTAGCATTCTCTTCAGTCTAATGGCAATCCAAGGTATACTACTTATCATATCTCGACGTCTATTCGCATGAACACGAAATGAATACTCAAAGAATATTAGAGTCGGTGAATCTAATGATTAGTAGCATAGCACCATAACTCATTTACTCACATTTTTCTTACAGATCTTACTTACAGCTTGCTTACAACGTAATACCTAGAACTCTTCTTTTTTTTCTTACATTCGATGGATATGGCAAAATATGAAACTACAGCAGTCTTGATTTAGTCTTAATGACATACTGAAGAACGGCTATTCAACAAACATAATGATGACTTCGCTGAACTTTTTTTTGAAAGCAAGAAAGTACACACGACACCTACGATGAGCTTGTCGTGAACAGGTGTCGTGTCATCGATATCATATTGGGTTTGGGTGGGTCAATCATCAACCGTTGACTTCTGTCCCGATTCTTTATGGTTGTCTTGCGCAGCAGGCCGATCGTTGTCCCGTTCGTTGTCCCGTGCTTGGCATGAAGTAGATGGTATCATACTTTCGCACCATGTATCATCTGGCTCCTGCTTGATTTTCTTTGTAGTCCGATTACAGGCCAGTGCGCTGCAAGGCTCATTGTCAAAGTAGAGGATGTATACATAGCACTTTTTTTTCAACGAGGACACGGCTGCGTGAATGGAAATGAACATTCGAAGCAACGCATGATGTTGTCGAATCGAAATTATAGTCGGGCGAATGCCATAGCACAGCATTTTTTTTCTTTCCACATGAGTACTTACTTGGGCGTAGCATCAAGAAATAGGCCGACTGAATACTTTTCTATACACAAAATCATTCAGCATTCATTCTTTCATTTCAGCTGAACGAATGTCTTCAAATTTATCTTTGGTCTTGCAACTTCATACTATTAACTTGTGGAGGAGAAGCAAGGAGATTGTATGGAGGACATGGAGGCAACATCAGGAGGATTAGATAGTACTATGTAGTTGTATGGTGCTTGTGTAGGCGTATTACTATCCATGTAAAATTGGTTCATCATTGGGATTCAGCTAGCAGACTGAATTGAGAATTGATTCAGCTAAGAAGATCAAGTCGCACAAGAGACATCCGAGAATCTCAGATGATCATTGGAATCTGAACTACAATCAAATGGAAATATGCCCGTTCGTCCGAAAGCCAGCTACAGAGATGATTGATCCTAGCAGAAGTTCCTAGAATCAAAAATACTCCTGTCGTGACGAAAAGAATGTCAATGTGTGGAACGTTTTGTGTGAACAATCCTTGAATTCATCTCAATCTGAGACGAGGGATCTGAGGAGAAGATCCAATCTTGAAATGGATGGAACGCGTCTCTGACCATGTGTATGTGCCGATCGATGTGCCGATGAAAGGCAAGAGAGGTTTTGAAAATTCAGAGAAAAGTTCCGTCCTGCTGCTATCTTCACGATGAAGATTTTTTCGTGAAATCAAGTTGGAAGAAGCTACGCACATCATCATGAACGATGAAAGACCTCAGCCGAACACTTTGAAAGTGAAAGAAATTGTAGATATAACGCGAAAAAAGACAGGAGATGTGGCCGTATTTTAGAGGTCGTGATGACATGAGGAGTATGGCCGTACATGACTGTCATGGACGATGTGCCTATGACATGACGGTGTGTAATCATACTACAACGTGGGGAAGGTGAATCCCAAAAACGACTTTTTGACGAATGATGATGATGATGTAAGTAATTGTTTTAGGAAGAGCTAGAAGAGCAAGAGAAGAGGACGATTCCGATTAGCGTTGATACTTACTGCAAGGAGTCTACTTACTGCAAGGAGTCTACTTACTGCAAGGAGTCTACTTACTGCAAGGAGTCTTCTATATCTATGTTTTTGATAGTAGAAAGAAAGTTCAGCTTTCAAGGTCAAACCAAACATTGATTCTTATGCTGTGAAATTTTTCTAAGCTTGTACTTGGAGGCTGAAAAATGACATTAAAGCTGAGAGAGAAACGCGCTTGCTTCACCTATGGAGATGATTGGTTCCGATCCATTTCGTAAGAGCTAAAATCTTTCTTCATGATTGCCATTCACTTCCTCCACTCGTCCTGGAAGCTGTAGGGTCTACTCAGAAGTTCGTGAAGAATACAAAGACACCTCGAGGACCTCTCTAACTTTTATTAAAAGTATCTTATACAAGTTCAAGTAGAACGGTAAACGAAGAACAAAGTAGAACGAACAAAAGAAAAGTAGAAAAGATGCAGGGGCAACATCCTCCTCCGACGGCGGCAATGGCTGCAATAGAAGGACCGATCGAAGGGGAGCACGCGGAGCTTTCGGCGCCCGATAGCGATCCGAGCACCGAATCCGAAGAGGATCTGCGTTCACGGTTCAAGTAATTTTTTTGGTTGCTGCTAGGTAGGTGATTAAACAGTCACGAAAAGTAGTCACGAGAGAGACCACGAACGAAAATCCCAGGTCTTTCGATACATATATATAATTGAGAACAGTTTTTTATGATCACAGTACGAACGTAGTACAGAAGATAAGAAACTGTTATCCATATTTTTCAATTTGGTGACAAGCCTTTCCTATTTGAATTTTCCCACTCACCAACAGGACTCTACCACCGCTCCACCCGCACGAAGTTGAATTGCGTGTCCCCGTGACAGAATTGTCTAGACCCATTGCGCCAGAGAAATTTCGCTCGAAAATTTCGGCTGTGGGAGGATTTGTTTTTGGGCTGTTAATTTTTCCGCGTGGTACCAAGAGTGGGCGGCAAGAAGGGGGCAAAGCGGGAGCAGGGAGACAAGATCCGCCTCCGCCAGAAAAAGGAGAGACAAGGTGGATTTCAGCCTTCGTTGAAGCCAGGCCAAGTGAAGATTATCCGCCCAATTGGTATGAAAAGTTGTTCTAGAAGTAGAAGCTTGAGTGATGTCTAAGTTCTCACTTTAATACGAGTGGTCCTGGACGACTCGTTACTAGTAGTACTTGATAACTAGCTGCTTGTCGTTCATTTCACGACGAGAAATGATCTTCTATCGTCCATGCTAGATTGCCTTGCAAAACGATGTGCATATCGTTCGATCCCACTATCCTCACCTCACTAGGTTTTTCCAAGACGTCCAGTTCCTTGTTTCGCTGATCAACCATACGAACATCAGCAACTCCATTGTGAAACACGACAAGCATACTTTTTCTCCCACTGAGAGTTCAGATGGGAAAGCTATAGACCGAGGATGGCACGATTTTGTTTCTTGCGACGAAGGCACTCTACGAAATGGAGGATTCGTGGATCCACGTATGGATAGATAATTTTTTTTGTTTTAGTAGTTAATATCAAGTTTCAGTCTATGATGAGACTTGCTTCAGGTTCTGGTTACAGCGTCCGAACGTTCTCTCATATATCGCAAGGATCATGCAAAGCTTCTATTGACCATGATCTTCAAGACATCAAAAACTCACATCACCAATCAACAACTTGAACTGACTTAATAATTATACAGTATTTGTCAATCTATATCTAAAATAAAAGTAAATGTGTCACTCTACAACCACAGGCGACGACACCGTTTGTTTCCGTGCTTCTGTGTATCTGGCTGGTGGTCCTATGAAAGTGAACCGTGGTGGCGCAGTGTGTGTCAGGCCACGACCATTGTACGGTGAGCTCCAGAAGTGGAACGACCTTTCGAATAGTATGTTGCCAACTTTCGTCAACTCTTTGACGCAAATCTGGTTCCACCTTGGCGCTTTTCGTAGTATCTTTTACCAAGCGGAACGTGCAGTGGTGGAGCAAGTAGCAGCAATGCACCACAAGCAGATGACCAAGAGTGGTACTGATATTTGAATAGATATTTCCTTACATAATTCTGGCTAGAAGTAATGTGAAAAAATATCAAAATTTTTTCAGTATAATCTTTCTTTACCTATTTATTATTTGATTTCGATACGCAGGTTTCACTCTCAGCAAGAAATTTTCCATCGAATCAATCTACACAGGTGCCATCACCGACCGCGAACTGCCTGAGTCTGCTTACGTAGATGAGAGGGGTAACAATTCTGTCCTCCTGTGCTTCCGTGAGATTTTTGGCAGGTTACAATCGCGACAGGGTCTAGCTTCCGCCGCACGCGTTTCAAACGTTGTCAACCTGCCCAAGAGAGACCTGGAGCATTATGTCAAGGTATGTTAGGAACTCTAATTTCCTTCGGTAGCCGTAGCTTGGAGGTGAGCAGATGCCGCACAATTAGGTCTCAACAAGGAAGTAGTTAAAAATTCCTTCACTTAGAAGAAGTAGGAGAGTCAAACAAGCTTGTTAGTGGAGCTAAGATCCAGATCCACCACTACCTAGACAATAATTCCACCCAGAGATATCTCCTCCGCATTTACAGGGCCTGTACGAGATGATGTTGATGGAAGTTGATGGGGCAGGGAGTAGCTCCTCCTCTTCGCAGCCAACAGGACCCAATGGGCGGCGACGCGTTCCGCCAGCCACCGTTGGCAGTGTCATTCATAGGGAATTGCAACGCTTCATGATGGACGTCGAATGGTCTGAGACCCCGATTTGTGGTCAGGACAAGACGAAAAGCCAGATTCGGCATCAGGTATGAGATCAGACTTAGACTTAGACTATTTTACCTTCATATCTCCCTCAGAGAGTAGAGACAAGTTTTATCATCAATATCATCCGCAAGGAGCAGGAAGTAATAATGATACTACTCTATCTTCCTCTGGTTTTTCTTTTTTCTAGTCAGGTCGGCTCCACCACAATGATACTACTCTTGTTACATCTGGGGAGCAACTTGTAATTACCATCAATATCATCCGCAAATGAACCTTATCACCATCAGACTCCGATCTTTCCGCTGCTGATTCGCGGCTTCTCGAACTTGGAGCAGTGCTTGGACCACTACTTCTCGGCGAAAGTACTAATGGAGCTTGAGCTTTTTGAATTATACGAGAATGCATGCTGATTATCATAATTAATGCAACATGATCATGGATCATTTAATGCATCACTCTTCTTCGCCAAAAAAAACAACTTTTTTACCCAAACCACAGGTTCTTGACGACGGTGACGGCAGTCGTGTCCAAGCTAAGCGAAGTATCAAATATCTCCCACCCGTCCTTTTCTGGTCCCTCAAGCGTGGACAACAGAACCCAACTTCGAGTTTCGAGTTCCCCAGAAAATTGAATATGACACGGTACATTTATGAGCAGAAAATTGAATATGACCACCAGAAAATTGAATATGATCGATATGTTCACTCATCAGCTTCCTCTTCTAGTGGTTGTATAGCCAAACGCATACTCTCAAATTGTTCATACTTAATATAGTTACTGTGATGACAAGATAATGGCTATGGAGATCCTTCTAATCGACAAAACTAGGAACTCTGATAGCATCAAGAAGTAGAGCTGCTAACATGCATCTGACAACAATTATGAAAATCAACAATTATGAAAATACTCAGGTACATGGAACCCGGCTCCATTAGCGAAGCAGATGCAGAGTATGCTCTCTACGCTGTGATGATTGAGTATGAGAGTCCAGCTATTCGCTACTACGCGTACATTCGCCCAGAGATGGAGGGCGACCAGGGACAATGGTATTTTTCAATTTCTTTTAGATTTTTATCATAGAACTCTTCTTCCCCGACTCGAGTGGGTCTCAGCATATTTTGAAGGTATTTTTCTGAGCATATTGATATTTTGAAGCACATGTCTTCTTCTATTTAGAGCAGAAGTCTATACCATTGAGAATTCTCCGACCACTTGATGACGTAGGTACCGTTTCTCCGATGGCCCCGCTGATGGTGTCCACGCCGTACCTTCCGCCACCGTTTTTGATGCCTCGGCTGGCGGCGTAGAGTGGCTCTGCGTGAACTACTTATATGGTCCCGGAGCTGTCCTCACCCGCGCCAAGACCACCAGGGCCAAGATGCTGGTGTACGTCCGCATCTCCCAATGCGGGGAGCTCTTAACCCAACCGAAACTCCCGAAAATGACAAAAGCAACTTTCGATCCGGTGCAACGTGGCGCTGGAACCAACACCAAGATGGCAGCGTTGACAGCCGGCGCCTCTTCCAGTACAGCTGTGCCAGCAGCTCTACCCTCAAGCAGTCTAGAGGACGCAGAGAAGAAAGCCTTAAGCCTGATCGAAGAGGATGAGATGGATGCCTTACGGCAAGAACGAAAAAAGGTTCAGCGAGCAAAGAAAAAGAACAAGAAGAAAGAACAAGCTGCTTTAGCCGCGGAAGCTAATGGTACTACTACAACTAGCATTAATGCCGATGGAGGTGCTAATGGTTGTACAAGAACATCTTCTGCTACTGCACCAGATGGCGGAGGTGCTAGAAATGGTCAAGCCTTGGCTAACGGAGCTGTGAGTACAACTGGTGTTGCCGAGAAAGGAACCTCCGCAGCTACTGTGGCTCCAGTTACTGCAAAGGAACAAAAGGACACTAGAAATACTAGCAATATTTCTTCTGCAGCGACTGCTGCATCTGCTGGGTCAGGTGGAGGTCGTGGGTCAGCAGCCAGTGGCTCGGCCAAAACTAGTACCATTTCTCCTAAGCAGGAACTCTTACAAATAGAGGAAAAGTCCGCCTCTATCGTCTCCAACTCTAAAAAGGCGAACAAAGACAAGAACAAAGGTGGTTGTTCAAACAACAAAGCTGGATCAACGACGACGACCACTGCTGCAGGAGGAACTACAACAGGAGCGACAACTGCCTCAAATAATAAACCTTCGGCGACATCAGCAGGTAACAATAAGGCGGTGTCCTCAGCGTCTCCCAGTTCTACCCTGGTGGTGCAAAATAAGAGCAATTCATCTGCTACAACGGGAGCTCCTTCCAAGTCAGGAGGTGGTAAGGCGAAAGCTAATCATCAACATGGCTCTACATCTACAACGACTACAACCACAGCAACTGCAAATGGAAATTCTTCTCGAGCAGGAACGGCAAGTGGAGGTGGCAACAACAAGCAGAACTCCCAACAACAGCGACATCAAGGACCTTCATCACAGGGGACAACGACTACTGCAGCTAGAAGTGGTGCAGGATCTACTCCTGCAGGTGCTGGATCTTCTATGTTGACCACGGCAACCGGTGCGAGGAACAAGAGTGCGACGAACGATGCTGGTAGAGGCGCTGCCGCTGCGGCAAAGCGCGCGAGCTCAGACGCGTCTTCTGATTCAGATTCTTCTACGTCCTCTTCTGACTCCGAGAGCAGCTTCGCTTTCGGACATAACCGCTTTCTTCTAGCGGCGCGTCGTCCAAACAATATTAACAATAAGAATAACACGAGAGCTCTTGGCAATAAATCCTCAGGACATAGTGGAGGAGCAGGTGAAGGTAGTGGTACTGGAAATGCTGGCAGTGGTACTACTACTTTTTCTACGACTGGTGGATCAGGAGGAGCTTCGTCATTACTATCTTCTGGCACAACAGGTACTGCTACTGGTTCTTCTACAGGAGGTGGAACAGGAAATTCATCTCTCTTGTCAGCAGGTGGAGGTGCAGGGCAGGCGTCATCGAGTTCTCATTTTCTGACTGCCAATGGGGAACCACGTCCTATTAAGGGTACCCCCGCCAGCGCTACAACTTCTGCCTCATCCGCGCCAAGTGGGAAAGAGAACCAGGGTGGTAACAACCACAATCAAAGTGGGACCAGTGGAGGTACCAGTAAAAAAGGTAATGTGAAAAAGAAGAACAACATTAACCGAAATACAGTCATGGGTCAGGCCGTCTGCATCCAAGAACGACTGCAGGAAAAGCGGGAGAAGCACCTCCATCGAGATAAGCACGACCACCATGGGGGGGCGTTGTCGTCGGCCTCTTCCGGTGGTGCAGGAGCCTCTTCCTCAAGCGGAACAAGTGCATCCTCAGCAGGCGTCAACAGCAGTCAACAATCTGCAGCTTCCTCTTCTTCCTCATCCTCCGGATCTTCAGGTTCTAGTAGTTCGGCACTCCATAATCAGCTACTATCCAGTAGTACCTCCCACCCGCACAATAGCCATCCCTCCAGCAGCGGAGCAACAGCATCCAGTTCCTCCCATCTTCAAGGCGTTTCGAAAATGAATGACCACCAGCACCTGCTGAACAGCTACAGCAGTTCCTCCTCCTCCAGAGATCAGAGCAATAACTTCATCCAACCTAAGGGGAGTAAGGTGTTGAAGAACAATCAGTTCAGCATCTTAGCTGCGTCGGCTGGAAGCACGACAAAAGATGGAGGAAATTCTCGTTCAGGAGCAACGAGCAAAAGCACTTTGGGAGGCTCTTCTTCAGCGACAAGAATAAATTCAGCAAGTGTAGTAGTTTCGAGTTCTTCCCAACCGACGGCGCCCGAGGGGAGCGACCAAGAAGCTGCTGTATTGTCTAAACGAGCACGGAAGCGCTTAGCTGCTCAACAACAGCAGCAACTAGCAGCTTCATCAAGCAAGCTGACCTTTAACGTGATGAACATGAACAACAACATCAAAGGGGGAGCTTCTTCTATTTCATCTCAAGCGACATCAAATCACAACAGCAATCCTTTCCTCAATGGCAGTACTTCTTCTAGTACAGCTTCACATTCTAAAGCGACATCTTCAAATCATCTCAATTCCGTTTCTGCTGGAAGTTCAAGCGTAGCGTCCGCTTCCGGAGGCGGCTTTGGCACTACAGCGACCATGTTGATGTCATCGTCTTCCTCAGCTTCCTCTAGCTCTTCACACGGAGCAGGTGGAAGTGGTGCTTCAGGTGTTTCCCAGTCAGTGCACGCACTGGCAGGAGGAGGAGCATCTAAAAAATTGTGTTGGGCGGATGTGAGTATCAACGAGCACAGTACTAATGCCAATCATAGCACTTCTCATAGTAATTCTGCTGGTGCAGGTGCTTCGTCGAGTTCCTCGAGTTCACAATCCGGGTCTTCGAGTGGAGGCCAACAGCATGGAGTTTTGCGAGGCAAAAAAGGCAGTGGTGGAGGTGCGACTACTGCTGGAAATCAAAGTAATACCTCAAGTGGAGGCAATATGAATATGCTGCAGACGGTGAGCAGCACTAGTACAACTGCTACAACGGGTGGAGCAGCATCGGGTTCTTCGATTAATGTTTTATCGTCGTCGAGTGCTTCTGGGACGACATCGATCTTGAACCAAAAGGAACAAGCTGCTGCTTCTTCCTCTTCGTCTTCGTATGCAGGTGTGCTGAGCACGAAGCCTGCATATAACGCAGTGACGCCTTCGAGCTACAACGCGCACTTCCCGCCGCCCGCTTTAGGAGCTGGCACGTCCTCTGGATCTTCTTCAGACGGCGGCAGCAAACGTGTCCTAGCTAGCGGATCGGTATGGGACGATCCGTGGGCATACAGACCTGCAACTAGTAGTGGTACCGCTTCCGCTACAAGTGCTGCTGCTGCTACTGCTGGCAGTGGTGTTGCAGGACAAGGATCAAATTATAGCTCCTCAGGAGGTGTTGTCCATCTTCAGGGATCCTCATCAGGAAGCTCATCTTCAGGAAGTGCTGGAAGTGGCTCTTTCCCGGCAACAAGCAACAACAACTTGATTCCTAGTGCCGACACCAGCAACACCACAGCTAAGACGAGTGCAGGGGCTCAGGGTTCCGACTCGCAGTTGTCTCCTAGTGCCGACACCAGCACACCCAAACGCGGGAATTCTAAGTCTTCGGTGCAAAGCACGACATGTTCAGGCGGATCCTCTGGCTCTCAAGTGCGCACACCCGGTCGCCTCAAATGGCTCCGTTTCATTGAGAAATTTTCCTCTGATCAACCACATTCGAGTGCTGGAGCCTCCCTAGCGTCTTCGAGCTCCAGCATGGGACACAGTACGGGACTGACAGTCAACAGCGTTTTAGGCGACTGTGCATCCGGTAACTCGTTGTTAAAGGTAAAAATCCGACCCGAGCAACTGCTCAACGGAGAGGACAGTTCCATGTTACGACAGTTCATTTGTGCGTTGTGTCCTGGTCGCACCGTGGTCGTGCGCCCTCTGGTCCTGCCTCGTGGCCACTTGGTTTCCACTTGTGCCTTCCTCTCCTACGTGCGCAGCAAGGTCCAGGCCGCTGATGCCTTTGCAAAGATGCGCGCGGCAGGAACATCGGGAGGAGCTGGCACATCTTCAGCAGGAGCGTCGCTGATGATGGGGTCTACTCAACATTAAGGGTTTCCGAATTACATCCCTCACTACCATCCTTGGCTCCTTTTCAAGGGGGAAATGGGTCACGGATGTTCTGAAGAATGCAATTCGGAAACCTCTAACAACAAGGACCACAACAAGGAGCACATCTTCCAACTGCCTCCTCCTCTTCCTCCTCCTCGAATATGGTTCTCTACTGTCCCATCTCTGGCGAAGAGATATCTCCGGAAGAAGTCACGCCCCTGGAGGAGAAGATCCCTCTGATCCATCGTATGTACGCCGCTCTGCAGTGCCAATGCGCGTTTAAACCGTGCCACTGGCGAGGGACCGTGTGCGACTACGTGGAGCATGTGAAACAGTGCCACTGTGAACAGCAAATTGCTTTGGAAAGGGAGGAAGAGGCGGCTGCAGCTTCGACAGGAGCGCATCAATTGGCTAGCGCGACCGCGGTACCCCAGATGGGAGCAACTACAGGAGGTGGTGCGCATCATCCACATCAAGCTGCATCTTCTTCTTCTCTTTGTGGTGGAGCTGCTCAACACTTGCAACATCAACAAGTAGTTGGCGCATCTTCGTCTAGCACAGGACATCATGGACATCATCAACTAGGAGGTGCGGGGGTTGAGCATCAACAACTAGGCGCTGGTGTGATGCAGATCATGCAAAGTACGGGTCAGCTTCAGGGAGGTGGATATCCGCAACAAATGGTGAGCAGTCTGAGCAGTATGAACATGCATCCACCAGCACATGGTCAACATGTTGGAGGACAGCCTCCACCATTGCCTTCTCCATTACCTGCAAGAGAAACCGAGGAAATTAACGGATGGGGCGCTTTGGAAGCCATGATATCCAAATCGACGACTAGTAGAGCTCCGAGGAAATCCTCAAGTACATCTTCCGGAACAGCCGTTGGTGGTAGGCCCTCTAGCACTCTAGACGTGATTACTAGCAGCAATGCTCAGACGAGCGCGACATCGAGTACTTCTAACCTTAATAACGTTGTTGACGGTGCAGCAGCGACATCTTGTTCATCTGGTGGAGCTGCGGCAGCTAATGGAACCGGAGTGACGACTTCTGCTGCTCTTCCTGTTATCGGAGGAGGTACAACTGCCTCTACAACTAGTGGCGCTACAACAGCTGCGATTGCCGCTTCGGGTGGGTCATCTGCTAGCTCAACATCGGTGCAGCAGCAAATAGGTATGATGCAGTGGGGGACGACGTCGACCACAGGTATCATGCATCAGCAGCATGACCATCTTTTGACTGGCACGACGAATAGTGCTGCTATGATGAATGGCACCACGACCTCGACCTCTAGCTCCAGCGTGTCCTCCGGTGAAGTAGCACCAGGCACAACAGGGACGACGACGACGACGACAACAGCGACATCCTCAAACCCAACAGCCGTTACTTCCATGATGAACGGCACCTCTAGTTCTGCAACAACTGCTGCAGCTGGAAGTACCTCAGCAACAGCTGCAGGATCAGTTTCAGCAACAGCTGCTGCAACCGTACTATCTTCTGCTGCTGCAACCGTATCTTCTGCAGCCAGTCGTGCTTCCACAGCAGGATCTACGACTCTACTTGTTCAACCAGCAGCTACTAGTGCAACTACTAGTACAACCACGACCTCAGCTGCTACGCAGCATCGCTGGGGTGATCGTCAAGCAAGAGGCGACATGGAAGTCCTATGTGAGTGGCAAGACGCAAATCTAAAACCGGGAGATAGGGTCAAGGTTCAAACTGTGGATCAGAGTGGGGAATGGGTACAACTATTTCACTTGTGATGTGAGGACTTTTTCTTGATGAAGAAATCTTATAATCGTTTTTGTCTTTCTTGCGTTTATTTCTACGATTTCGACTCTGGTGAAGATTCTACCCGAGTTCTTGTGAAACTTTTACTTTTACCCATTCGTCTCCAACCCTCCAACCTTCCATCCACGGATCCAAAAACAGGCCTACGGCGAACCATGTAAGGAAGGCAAGGGCGCTTGCTGGATTCCTAGAAGCATTCTGCAACATGTGATTTACACTACCCGAAACACCTATGTTCCAGACATACAACCCGGAAGCGATATGATCAGCGTTCACGAAGGTACTTGCTTAGTAGTTCTTGTTGAAGCTACATTTCCGAACAAGCATATTAAGGTATTTTCGCCCTTTCAAGTGATCATCTTGATTTTTCAGAGTTCAAATTTCATCTTCGAATATTCACTGAAGTAAGAGTAATTTTCTCTGCGAATGATCCGAGTCTGCCAGTGCTATTATGTATGATATCAAAAATCTGCCTTTCTGCATTCCAACCAACAAAAAACCACATCAACATAGGTGATTGTCTCTTTGCGTATTATCACGATCCAAGTGGGTGGACGTATGGGGAGAAAATTCCGCTCGACAACTCTGGGAGCGGTCCAGTGGGTTGGTATCCGACGAGTTTGCTGAATTTGGATTAAGTTGTGAACCACGGTGTACTATGCGTATTGTAGTTGCTCTGTCACAATATTATTAAGAGAGATTAATATTTCTAAGATGAAGGGAGTTCTCATTCTAATGAAAATGTGCATGAACATGACCTATTCATCTTTGGAGTCTTCAGTCTATTACTACCATATAATGGATTATATGCTGGAATCGATTCTGCTATTTACAGACTTCTTCGACTGTCAATGATCCTAGAACCAAAAGGCTGCATCAAGAACCAAATGATACCTTATCTAGGTGACAGACTATAATGATCATAAAGTTCTACAGATAATCAAAAATTGTGGTCCTGCTCCTGGCCACTCGACTATTTCTGGGGTCCATCCTCACAACGAAGCTGTGCGGGCGGTAGCCAAACAGCACAGCATGTAGTACGCGCGTGTCTCTTCATTGTAAATCACTAATAACATTGGTAGTTGTACTAAAATCTCGTTGTTGTAATTCACAATGCTCACTGGATTTCTGCCCATAAAGATAGTACTTAGACTCACTCCTGAGTATTACGCACACGTATTACCTCCATGACTCCTTGAAAAAAAGTTAATCCCAACATAATAATAAGCGAAAATGTTCTGGAACAGTCGTCGTTTCCATCGCGATTTTATGAATACTTTCATCTATGACTTCTAAGCTACTGTGAAGATGAACGAGAAGCATTAATACGGCATTGATCATTATTGAAATGAGTACTTACTATCTTCAGGAGACCGTAGGAACATTGTACCATAGAAGTACTTTGAGGAATGCTGTTGAAAAAGATGCTAAACTATTATACGACCTATATATATGACACCTTCTATCATACCTCCATATAAATGATATGCTTGGATGTTTTCTGATCTTGTAATTCAAATTTGGAACGTTTTAAAGTTGCTTCAAATTCTTGCAGTCAATCTGAAAATTCTTGCCAAGAACGATACAAAATTCGATACGACGATGTTGACTTGACGTCGTAACTAAAAAGTATGTTTCATTGCCATTGAAGGTTCTGCTGCTTCTACAGCGCTCAAGGATTGTTCAAATTTATGTTTGTATTTGTAATTCTCAAACTGATGGTTTTCACTTGAAAAAAAATATTGTCCTCTTTTACGGACCGCGATGCACTTCCCAACGACTCTTGTAAAGCACGTAGTTGCTGCCTGGAATGCCAGACTTCAAAGTTTTCGCAAGCGACGAAAGTGCGGGTGTACGCACTACTTTTCCAGAGTGATTGAGGGAGCTCCGACTTGACTGACCACAAGGCTGAGCATGTCGTGTCGAAATGCATTTCCCATCTTATCTCGAAATGTACTCTAAGTGCATTCAGTGGCACTTAAGATACCGAGGGAAATTGAGAAAATGTCGAGGTACTGTCGAAAAACAAAAAAGGAAAATGGAGAAAGATGGGAAAAGGACTCAGTAGCTTCATGTGAGTTCTTTATAGACTCGTATCGATTCTTGCAGGAGCACGATGTCCTTCTTCCTATCCGACTAAATCCTGTAGCTGCGGTCGTTGGCTTCCTAGCATTAGATCCCCGGTAAGTAGAATACAAAATCAAATTTATACTTGACTTTCTATTTTTGTTTCTCTGGATGGTTTTGGCGGATGCGGTGCGGCACTTAATAGAGTAATCTTCCTCGTCTAGAGCATACTACTTGTTAACGCGGCCAAAAATATTATTGACAGAAGTAGTCCTGCAGAGTAATAGTCCTCAATGGTGGGTTCTTCAGAGCAAGAGACCAGTTCTATTCCATCTTCACCGTTTGAAGTGGAGCAGTCGCTTTTCGAACACTACCGGTTGAAAGTCGTTCAACTCTTCGAGCAGTGGATCAATCAAACGATTTACGGCGAAGCACCGGGAATAGAGTTATGAATACGATTTGGAGGAATATCAATATTCTCATATATGTTAGTACTCGATTACGTTCATGTGAAATTCTCTTAGGCGTTCGTGGTCTTCTGTGTGGCTCTATCGCTTTGTTTTGAAAGATGATGATGTTTGAAGGAGGTGGTGCTGATTGAAGAAGACGCTGAAGAGAAGGATGAGAGGAGAAAGAAAGACGTAACACAAGTTTCGACGAAATGTCTCTATATCTTGGACATGCAAAAAATTGCTCTACTTGTAGTACTACTACTAGGCTCCTCGTCTTTCTTTTTTCCATCCGAGGTTATTCTTATTCTTTTCTGTATCTAACATCCGGTATTTTGTTCAAACAAGAGAACTCGTCAGGGAAATCTTAGGCATCTTGCCGAATAGATTCAAGTCATCAAGAGCAACAGAATCAATTTGTATTATGAGTCTATTTCATCTTCTACTACGAGTACAACTGTGACGACGACGATAACTGCTCAGCAACTCAAGCGGCAAGCCAAGTTGAAGAAAACCCTCTTGGCGATTTTTCTCGCAGTCGCCATCGTTTGCGCAGTTTTCGTTTTTACCTACGCGTTCGTGTCGTTTCTGTTAAGGCTTGTGAAGGAGATTGTCGATTGATTTAGTCGTTGGTTTTTTTGTGAGTTTGGTATTGCATGCTGGTGCGTAATCATTATCATGTTATTATCAAAAGACTCGTATCTAAGAAGTAGTTAGTACGTCGGTTGCTCCCGTCGGTTCCTGCTGTCAGTTGTCTTGCTACCCTCGTCTGTCGTCAGTCTTTTCATCTAATTCAAGATTGGTTCTTTTACGGTCGCAGAGGCTTAGCCCCGCCGAAGAACGTGAATAAAGTGATACACGTAGGCACGCAGGATAAAGCTGACGACGACGGAAAAGGTCGCGAAATAATCGACTCGCAGCTGCTTTTATGAGGAACATGAATTGAGAATGATAAAGTGCTTCACGTCTTCGTTCAAAATAGAGCCTCTTTCGGTATAAGAGTAAGTAGTAGTAGTCTTGAGAACTTGAAGATGCATGTAGGTAGTCTTCGTGGTTCACTGCTCTCCACTGGGACTGCATGACCGTGCCTTCTCTTTGAGAAGCTACGATGATTTCACCAGTCGGATAGGCTTGATAGTCCAAGCGAATCTCACTGACGTAGTCGTCTTCGTGTATTCAGAAATTTTTGAGTCTCGAAATTTCAATTTGGGAGGAACATGAATTATGCGTGATAAAGTGCTTCATGCTCATGCATTAGTGGAACTAGGAGCTTCTGACTCGTTGTTTTTAGAAATTGTAACACACAGTACGTAGAGCACGACAGCGACTTGAATTTGATTGGTCACATTCTAATCACCCGAGACCCAGATACGGGTAAAATCTTAGTGCGAGATCGCAAAGCCAAAGAGGTCACTTCGCTTGATGGATTGCGACAGAGAGTAGCAGGGTCATGATGACGTTGACTGTTGATGCAGATACGAAGATGACGGTGGATCTTGATGCAGTAGATGCGGTCGAGTATGAGTGCTGGAATCCTGATACTTCCTTTGATCATGACGTTGAGGACGAAGATGCAGTTGTGGTCGGAGGGGGTGGACACGAAGAGGTCGACGTAAAGGGACAACATCTTCAGAGCAACAACTTGAACTTGTGCTTGTCTGGGTCTGTACATTAAGGCTACAGCGAACGCATCCTCAACACCATCCTCGCCTTCTTTTTGAAGGGAAAAAAGGCTCGGGGATCGGCTCAAGGATGCGCCGTGGTAGCTCTAAGTACGACAACTAGTCTCTCCATCTATTACAACTTCAAGTACTAGTAGTAGAACTTCTGAGAGTCGTTCTCATTCTGCCTTAGAAATACAAGATGAAGGACTAAGAAGTAGTGCTGGACGAGGACAACATCATCGAGGTCATCATCGAGCCAGGAAAGCTGTGGAGGAACGACGAGAGCGAGATGAAGTTGCTGTCACAGTTAGCACCCATCAACATCAAAGCAGCAGCACTACTAGGAGTACCAGCACTACTAAGATGAAACCTAAAGATGATCCGAGAAGTTCTTTCGCGGAAGAGCGCAGAATGTTGATAGAAGAAAGAGAACGTCTAGCAGAAGAACGACAAAAACTTGAAATTGCACTGGCGAAGGCGAGAAAACGTATTTCTACTACTTAACTACTAATCCCGATTTTTACCTTTTTAGTTACCTTTCTACGTTCTGGTTGTACTGCGACTGACTTCCTTTAAAGCCTGCATCTTCAACAAGTCTTCAATTCAGATGACGATCCTTCTCATCCTCTACAAAGTAACTCAAACTTTACATTCACATTACCTCCATCTCGTAGATGTATCCCTTCAAGCAACGAACTCATTACCTCTATTCAATTTTGACTTTCATTGGCACTTATCTCACGTTTCATCCGTCATCACCTCCATCACAGATGACGAGCTACTTCATCATGACCTCCACCATGCTGAGAGGAAAGTTTTGCAAAAGGCAGAAGAGGATTCGAAACCTCGAATATTTCAGGAAGTGGAAAGCGTCCTCACTGGGGAGGACAAAAATTTGTGGGAAGCTTCTGTGGCAGCTCGCCTTGGCGTAGGAACACTGAGCAATTCCGAATTTGAGGAGAGAAGCCAAAGAGAGCTGAGGAGAAAGGTTTATTTTACAACCCTTTTCTTGAGCTCGTGGACGTGAATGAGGGTGGATCGACTATAAATGTTGCTTATATATTATTCAATACTTTCTTAGTAGTATCATATCTAATAAAACTACATATTGCTCAAGCTTAAGCTTAACAAGTAAACCAAGACCAAACATCTGCTTAAGCTTCGAAGGACCAGACATCTCGAAGGACCAAACATCTGCATTAAAAACAGGAACCGAAATAATAAGTCTCGTCTTCATACCCAGTGGTCGTGTCTTCACAGGTAAAAGAGCTCGCCGAACTAGACACGAAAATCAAAGAAAAGTTAGCTCGCTGTTTCTCGGAATTGAAGATTGTGGAGCACGACGTCCGAGTCGAGGAAGAACGAAATGCCATCAGCAACCTCATCACTCGTGAACTCTCGGAATTCAAGGAAGACTGGAGAAGGAAGGCACAGGAGGAGCGAGATGCCAGAACCGAAGCAGTGACGCTAGAACATGCTCGTCTTGAATCGAATTTTCCTGTCTTTGTCATTGGGGATGGCGATCCGGTGCCTTTGAATGCTGACGGAGACGATCATAGTCTGGATGGCATCGAGCGCTTCATAGCTTTTATGACAAGTCGTTTACTGTTGTGCCAAAACCACGAGTTACGAGTTGTAGGCAATATTAGACATAAAATATAATATTTCATGAAAGATCTTCATTTTTGCATTCAAGAAAGACCTTCATTTTCACCGCTGAAGCAGGACAACTACAGCAAAGGAAACCCACTTCTACGGGCTTTCGTCCTCCGCACGACCAGCAGGCGCATATCGAGCGACATGGTAGAGGCAACGTTCGTGCTCGTCCTCCGGCTCCAGGAGCTTCTATTCCTCCAGTCTCACAGCGAGCAGCAGCCTCTTTCGTGTCACCTCCTAAGCGTGTCGTTATGAAGGAAGATGCTGAGGAAGATGCTGAGCTAGAACTGCTGTATGCGAGAAATGTTGGACGGCTGGCAAGACTGGAACGCTTGATCTGAGAACTGATTTTTGGCTTGCTCTCATTTGATGCCTTCTGTTTAGCTTGGAGTTTGTGATTTTATACCTCACAGTCACGACAACTCGTGCTTCTGCAAGTTTGACAGGTCGTTGAATTGCTCAAGGTAAGCCGATCAAAAGTGTTGGCTAAAAAGTCCCACATAACTTCTATTAGGAGTCTCTGCCGTGTGCTGCTGGTTCCTCTCTTTCTTCCTTCAAGGGATTGGGAGCGAATTTTCGAAAATATGAGTTTATCCTTCAGCATTGTCGGTTGGATTGAGGGAGAGAGAGGTGGCGTCCATAACCTAAAGGTAACACATAATAGATAGCTTTTCTTTTTTCGGTTTTTGCTTTTCTAGTTAGATATTCTCCACCAACATAATAGATAGCGTTAGCGATAGGGATGAAAGACAAAGACTGCCTTTCTCCGGCAGTATAGTCAGTAGTTGTATGCGTGGCGTGTCCTCTCCGAAGGAAAACTTTGATCAAGATGGTAGTGGAGAATGGGACAACATCAACTACGGGAGGTGGATCATCCGCCTCATCCTCTTCGGAGTGGAGAGGCACAGCATCAGCATCAGCAACGTCTTTTAAGGCTCAACTTTCAATGGTCACCATTGAGATTGGAGTCACTGAGATCGAAGAGGCGACCCCTTCTCGAGAGAACCAACAGGGGAAATAAACGAAGGGAACAAAGGGGAGAGCTTTGAAGGGGGTCTCTTCCATTCAGAGTCATGATGACCACTGAGTGCTGAGCTTTAAGCCTTTCGCTTCTCCGACGTCGAGGAGTGGTAGCAACAGACTTCCTGTGTCGATGTCAACTCGTGCCCCAGCTGCCCTGAAGAATAGCATTACCGCACAGCTGATACAAGAGCAACATTTCGGCACTTCTACGATATCTGCCGCTAGCAGTGGATCGAAGAGCAAGATCAGTGCAGCGTCCTCTAAGGATTCAGATTATGAACAAGAATGTTGTCCCTACTACATGTTGTGAGTGAGTGAATGGCGTGCAGTTGAGTCAGTGTCTGAGGACAGAAGTGGATGCTTGACCTACATAATATTCTGCTTGTGCTGAGAATAGCAGTACGTCCAGGCTTCTATGATCAACACACATAGTTAGAAATATATTGTGCGTCTTGCAATTTCAGAGTCGTTGTCGTCCAAGTACATTTAGAAACACGCCTGCTACTAGCTGACCACCCACTTTTTACCCACTTACTTTCATCTTTTCCCCCGTCAGCTACAACCCCGCGGCCAGCACGATATGAACAGTAGCTGGAACGATTTCCTGTACGAGAGGACTCTGGTGTGTCTCAACCTTGAGATCTCCTGCGTTGCTTTGGCACCGTGTGGGACGTTTTTTGTGGTAGGAAATGGCAGTGGAGACGTCAAGGTCTACGACATGGAGGCCTACGCTGAAACACATACGCTGAAATTATGGAAGGGTGATTTAGTATGTTCTTTGTTCAGCACGAAGAGAGTGAGACGAGACTCAAGTGTTGCGTTGCAAGATTATATAGATAGTGTGTAGTAGCATGAGTTCTTTACCTCTGTGTAAGTAAGTTTTGCTTCAAAAACGGCCATCCAGGGTTGGGCGTGAAGTACATGACCATGACCATGTAGTTAGGTCTGTGAATATGACCGCAATCAGATAATACAAGACGATACTGTGTGTTTTCCATTTCTAATCCCAACTAGTGCCAGTTCCTGTGCGCCGAAGAGCATTCTTTGCACCAGCAAGGAGGTTGGAAACCGTAGCGTGACCGAGCATCTGATCGTTTTGATTAAGGCTTGTTGAATGGTATCAGATGGGTCGGAAAGATGATATGCATGCTTGCTACCTACAATTATTGACACTAAAAATATCCAACTTCGTGACAAAAGACGTCTTTTTCAAGTTCAGAAGAGAACAAACGGGTACTGTACTTGTACTCCTTCTCCTACCTCGTCTTGTTGCAACCGAGGATATATAAGGTACAACTAACATGATCTTCTTACCGCAAGATGAGTCCCCTTGATTTCTTGCAACCAGAAAAAGAACCCCAACTAAAAACAGTAACATCGAAACTCTTGCGCTTCTAATCTCCGTGGTGACGGTATTCGCGTGTTTTCAGTCCAGAACGATTTTGCTTTCGTGCACTGCATACAGCCACCGTTTTCGAAGATGTTGGATACCCAAAACGTCCATGAAAAAAGTGCGAATAGTCGACCCGGAAGCAAGGAGAGAGTGGAAGGTATTCCTCTATCGCAGTGAATTGCTTGGGAATTGTATAATGCAATCAGTTTCTTTCTTTTAAGTAAAATAAGTAAGTAGTTTCTTGAATTCTAAGGCCAATGAGATTGTATCTTTCCGCCGGTAGTCTAGGAGTACTACTTGGGATGCCAATCAATCAGTCGCTGTTCACCAAGATTGACTGCCGTGCAGCGACTGTGATATACAACGAGCTCCACACCACAGAACAAGAACGCTCCACATGGCAATGCGTAGCCTTCCATCCGCGCAGTGCGACTTCAGTGAGAACACAACGCAAGGACAACACTATTGTTGCGTGTGCTGACATGGCGTTGGTAGTGTATTCTACCATAGATTGGGGTGGCGCGACGAGTACACCAAGAATACTTCGTTCGGTGCTCAGCTGGGGACCGCCGACGATTATGATGAGTTTTTGTTTGCTTGAAGAAAGAACTTGCTTCGTTGGTAATGAGAGTCGTCCTCGTAGGCGCACCCAGTATGTAATTTGGATGATCTTATAAATAAGGGGGTAAATAATTGATTGAAAGGGTGGCAGCATATAGTCCTAACTCAAAAAAAAAAAATCTACGGTGATCATGAAGGATCATAACAGAGACGCTCACATGACAAGGTAACCCCCTGAAACTTGTGTATTGAAGCAACTTTCTTCGCAAGTTAGTAGTAATAGCAACAATAGAAGTGCTCCGCTAATGTGGGTTGTGTCTTCACCCCAGCTGGTACTAGACTCATCGTCGGCCACGCTTCTGGCAGTATCACTGTGTGGAATAGTCACACGTTTGCCATGGAAAAGACGCTCAGTGGACACCAAGGTGCTGTGACGAGTTTTGACTTTTATAGAGATGAAATCATGGAGGAGATCGATTTGGTGGCAACAAGGAGCGAAAGCGAAACTGAACCGATGGCGACGGGGAGTGAGACGATATGGCATAGTTCTATTCTTTGTGACCTCTGTCTGACTTAGAGAAAAGTGACAAGAACACATAAAGATCATTAATGAAGGTGACTAACAAGAGCTGGAACAAGAAGTAAAAGACATTTTTTTTGATGCTGAAGATTTCTCAGATAGATGTTGACGCAGGCTTCCTTGTTAAAGATTCTCACGCCACACCCTTTTCTTGTAGACTGATGAAATCTAGACTATAGGTAGTTGCGCTAGTCTTCCTCTAAGCACCGAAACGGATTGTTCGGTCAGTAGTCGAAGTCCGAACAAAAACGGGAGGCGAACTACTCGAGCAGCCTTGGCAAACAACTCACAGACCGACTTGCTAGGAGATAATACGATAAGGTCACGCACGGACGAGGCTGGAAAGAAGAAGAAGAATACAGCACTAGTGCGCAAAAAGAGGACACTACTTGTTAGTTACGGCATTAGTATGTCACTATCTAGTTCTAGTTGTTTGAGGTATTCTGAGTGGTGGCCGCCTTGATCCAGAGTGGAAACGACCATCAAAGGGAAAGGACGCAAATAAGAATCACTTAAGTGCTCAACCACAACGACGAAGGAATAGTGATAATTCATTGACTAGCTCTAAGCAGCTTGTAGTCGTGACAAGAGCATGCGTCTGTGGAGCAATTTGCAGGATGAAGACGCAGCAGGGTGGCAACTGCTCACTACAGTCCCTCTAGAACCTGGCGTCCACAGCCCAAAGATATTCCAAGATACCGCGTCTTCAAACTTCAGTGCGCTAAATACTGGACCTGCATCAACAAATTTTCATGCGGGATCGTATTATGCGAATACAGCGCCGAACGGTAAAAATGGAGCAGGAGTTATGCAAGCAGGAGCAGGTGTAGGAAATGCATCTTCAAATATTATTTATGGCTATGTTGGCACCTAGACGAAGATGAATTCGCCTGAGATGCATTTTCTACGCCTCTAAAGGAAGTGCAACTAGCACAGCTTCGACAGGACTGAGCACTTCTGGAGGACAATTTTTCACTAGTAGTTGGTGCCTCTGTGTCGCACCACGATTACTCGTCTGGCGCTTGAAGACTGTGATATCGACAACAGCTTCGAGGGGAACGATTTTATGAAAAATGGCAAATAAGTATCAAGATCAAGATCTCAAATCTATTTCAAAAAGTCTAATCCCTTCCGGCGACAACTACAGTATCGTTTTCGAGCCGTTCCAGCGCCTCAAAAGTACTGGTATGGACACTCCACAGGTTGCGGCCTTCTCTCCAGATGGCAATCGAGTCATTGTTGGGTCCAACGATGGCGTTTTAGGCGTTTTTATCCGGAAAAAACAGCTCTTCGCAGAACACACTAGGGATTACGATCACGAATCGCTAGCCTTCGAGCAGAAAAAGAAGATTCGCGAGGTTGTGAAGTGCATTTTGGAGCGCGATTTGCGTGCGAATGCAGCTTTGGTTATGGCTTTACGGTAAAGACATGCTCATCCACAAGAACAGACTCCACCGTGGTCTGTTTTCTAAAAACGAAAGACAGTTCATTCTAGTTCCTAGTAGAAGGATGTTTAGAAGGACGGAAGGACCGGGGAGGACTTCTGATCATGTAGCTCTAATTTGTCAGCGTCAGCAGAGTTGACGAAATCGAGAGGACTGAATGGGATCGAACTCCTGCAAAAACAGTTTCAGAATTCGCATTTGAGTGGTCGAGCTTTGAAGGAAATGAGTCTGTTGCAGCAGCAACAGTTGAATCCGTACCTGAATTCCTCCAGTGGAGCAGCTGCAGAACTTGCGACGAGATTGAGCAAATTTAAGGCCGCCCTTGATGAAGATTTATCTTGTTTTGTGAGGTGCATAGATAAGGGTTTCTGTTTCTTAGTTGTAGAAAATGGTAAATTTCCAGTGCCTTTTGTAGTAAGTCTAAGTTAAAGTTCTAACAAATTACTGCCAGCACCGGAAATGAAGTTTCTGGACCACGCTCATGCGCGCATTGTCACAGCGAGTAGTTGCCTTCAGTTACTCGAGCAGATTCACAAGGCAGTTTTGCGGAAAGAAGAAGGCGACCGACAGAAAGCTTTCGAGGAAGAGACCGAAAGGGAAGAAAAGAAGAAGCAAAGTCTCGTGGGAGAGCAATTGATGGCACTGCCGAAAGATGGAAATGGGTCGTCGTACTACTACATGAGCGGAGGATCATCTTAAGGCACCTCGTGGTAATTCTTCTGTGTCATTCAGTTTCCCAGGATTCTGAGGTCTATCGACAGCTCCTCTAATCATTAGCATCAGGCGGCCAGGTGGTGATGTGTACACAGAGTGGCAGTCCTAGGAGTCTGTTTCGCGGTATCGCCATTCAACCCGAAGGCGAAACGTTGCCGGAGTTCATTTTCGAACATGAATTCACTACGAAATGCAAATTCGCAGCAGAAAGGATAGAAACTCTAGGCTTGCCGTTTCTAAAACAACTGTGGAAAGAGAAGGGATGGACATTTCCGGAATCTTCAGCTATGATTAAGGCTTAGTTCTTACCGTAATTATTCATCTTCAGAAGCTCAATCTTGAAGCTGTCGCTGTCATCGCATATAAGTACATGGGAAGAGAAAAAGGCATCAAGATGCATCTCAAAATGAATATGGAAGGTGAGCTGCTCTAATCTGAATGGGGGAATTGCAACTAGTAATGGAGGAGCAACATCATCATCATCATCATCATCATCATCTACTTCTTCTGTGTCGGGAGATAGAGAAGATGCGACAAACTTAGTCAACGTCACGGAGCAAAGCATTCTCTCTTTGCGTAGACGCGGTGCTGAGTCTCCGTCGCTGTTTAAACTCCTTGCAGCTACAGGCGACGGGCTCAAGGGCGTTCCAGAGGAAGTGCGCGCAAAAATCACGGGAATAGAATATGGGGAACTTTTCAAAGACTTCTTCCTGAAGGCTTTGTTGTTGCACGAGTTCGGCCATTTAGAGGAGGAGGAGGATGACGAATTAGACGCCGGAAGTAGTACGGTGTTAAAGAATTAAGGCTTCCCCTAATCCCTTCGTAGAAGCATTTTTGGGGTTCGTTTTCCCATACTTACGAGGAAGGCAACTCCACCAAGATGCATCTCAAGATGGATTTTGATGGTGAGCTCTAAAACAGCGCAGCTCTTGGAGGTGGATCTAGGAAGAACACTAGGGCGGTTACCAGTGCTATGGGTGCACAAGGACAACTGTTAGGAGACAACAACTACGACCGCAGTGTCATGTGGGGTTCAGGCTCGTCAACACCTAGTTCTAAAGAACAAATGGCATCAGCAGGAGGCCTTCAATTATGGTCATCAGCCTTTAACTTTGTCCATCTTTGCTCTCGGCATCTTGGTCCCCTCCTTGTTTTGTCCTGTACTATTCCTATGAACTACTAGACTTCAGCGCCCGGTAGCTCTCCCTCCACGAGAATCCTCCACCTCCTTCGCGCATTTCCTTCGCCAGGACGCGCCTCCCCCGCTCCTCTTCCGCCAGCTCGCGGCGCTTTCCTGGCGAAGAGGTCCGCGCCAGAGGAGTCGGAGCATAGGCGCCGCGGAATTTCACAGAGGAGGCCGCTCCTGTCTCTGAGGTTTTTGAGATGTCTCAAGGTTTGCCCGCTTTTGAATTTAGTGCAGGGCTTTGGCTTGGGAGTCTTGAGTGCGAAGCTTCGCGCGTAAGTCTTTGAGGTGGAGACTTGGGGCGAGATTGATTGAAGCTTTTGGCTTGCAGCTTGAAGCTCGCGGCCGCTTTCAGTGTGAAGCTTTGAGCTTCAGCGAAGCCTGAGGCGTAGAGCTTCGAGCTTGGACTTGCAGGCTGAAGCTTTGGACTCGAGCGGAGTGCTGGGTTTGAAGGTTTGGCCTGAGGTCTTGGGTCTGAAGTTTTGGACTTATGATCTTGGATCTGAGGCAGGCTTTGGGTAGGAAGTGTTGGGCTTCAGGCGTTTGGCTTGAAGTCTTGGCTTTGAAGTTTTGGGCTTGAAGCCTTGGACTCGAAGTTTTGGGCTTGAAGTTTGGGGCCCGAGGCCTTGGGCTTGAGGCTTTGGGCTCGAGTTTTTAGATTTGAGTTCTTGAATTTGAAAAGCTTGGAACTGAATTGCGGCTGACAAGGTCAAAACTTTGCGGCTTTTGCGCAAAATAGCAAAGCTCTTGGGCTTTGTCGCTTAGAATCTAAATTGATGAGTGCGTGGCTCTAGTGTATTTGGTTCGAGTGTATTTGGTTCAGGTGTATTTGGTTCAAGTGTATTTGGTTCAAGTGTTTTTGGTCTGAGTGTTTTTGGTTCAGGTGCTTTGGGTTCCTTCAAGTGCTTTCGGTTCAGGTGTTTTCTGTTCGGAGCTTGGAGGGGTGTTGTTGATTTTTTATTATGCGCCTACAGGCTATCGATTTTAGCAAGTTTTTCTGACGTTCAATCTCTTGGATTCGAATGCCCCAAATCCAAAAATTTTCGACTTGAGCTAATTTTTCTGAAATTCAACGTCTTGGATTTGAATTACTCAAGTCCAAAGGCTTTCTTCGGCTTTAGCAAGTTTCTCAGGCAACCAGCCTTTCAATTTCTTGGATATGAATTTCTCAAGTCGATTTTAACAGGTATAGCTGAGATTCAACTTCTTGGATTTGAAAAATTTCGACTTTGACAAATTTTGCTGACATTCCATTTCTTGGATTTGATTCGCAAGCCCTCGCAAGTTCCCAAGTTTCATAAGTTTCGTAAGTTCTTAGGTTCGTAAGTTCCTAGGTTCGTGAGTTCGTAGGTTCGTGAGTTCATGGGTTTGAATTTGGAGAGTGCAAGTTTGGCGGGGTTGTTGTTAAATTTTTTTTAGCTCTTTAACATTACAAGGGAGGTAACAAAGGAGTCCAGGAGATGAGGCCACCGAGTTGGATAAAAGAAGATGCCTCTAATTTAAAGCGCAAGTGGTTCGCAGAGCACAACGCCTGTGGTTCGCAGAAGTAAGAACTACTACACTCCGAAGTACAACGAAAAAATGCGCTCTGTAGGTTCAGAAGTCGATGGATCCGCCGACGCTTTTGCCTCTAGCATGAAAGTGAACACACAATCCAGTACACAGTTACTCAATAGTTCTACTAGTAGTGGCTCTAGTACTTTGGTGGATCATATTTCGTCATCAGCAGCGACTTCTTTCCACACAAACAACACCAATGCAGGAAGAGTAGGTGTACAATCAGTACAACAGCCACAGCGTTCTATTGGAGGAGCTCCACAGTTGCATATAGGAGGAAGCCTGCAGTCTATGGTGGACTCATCTTCACCTAGTAAACTACAACAAGGAACTCCGCCACCAGTTATGGTCAGCTTTTTCTAGACATGATTTTTCTCTCTCTCAGCATCTCGAGAGTAGAAGGAAAAACAAAGGGGTCGAAATGAAAGGACATCAGAGAGAGAGACGAATAAAAGCGGAAACTTGTTGGAGTCTGCGCAGTCAGATCTTTTGCGAGTAAGAATGAATGAGTGAATGAATGAATGAGTGAGTGAATGAGTGAATGAGTCATCTCTAAGCCAGGAGTTATTAGTTATGACGTAGACGATCCATTTGCGCGTTTGTTGCGACGTGGCCGCGGTCAATCTTCAGCAGCAGTGATTGGCGGAGCCTCGACTCCCTCGTGTACTCCTTCACGCGGAATAAACCAAAGCTTCAACTTCTCTGAGGGGAGTCATGTTGTGATCAAAACAAGGCCTGGATCACGTGGACAACCTGGATCAAGGGGTACTACTACGCATCCCTCGTTTGCTGGTCTTCATGGGGGTGCGTTGTCAGGACTCTCTACTTCGTCGACTGATTCATCTTCCAGTGCCCTCGTGAATAGAACTCAAAGTAGTCAAGCCAGCAGCAATAATTTGGTTCAGCAGGAGGCGTCTGCAGTTTCCGGAGGTAGCGCTGGCGCAGGGAGTGATCAAGCAGTTGTAGGGAACAGTATATTAATCTCATCTGGACGAGAGACACCTGCATCTTCTTCCACACAACAGCAAGCAGCACAAGCACCATCACAGGCAGATCCTTACGCCTCTCCGGTCCGAAAGGCTCCAACAGCTGTTTCCTCCTCTCAAAAAGCAAACCCGATACTATCGGACTCTTTGTCGAAGATGATGGATGACCATTTACAACAAAATTAAGGCAACTACTTAATCAGAACATTCTCATTCTCTTTCTCAGCATCTTTTCTTGACGAGGTATCTTCCTTATGGGAAAAGTAAACGTCCTCAGGGAAGATGCAGTCAGGGATGCAAATTGTGCGGTAGCAGTCTAAGAAAACCATAACCAACAGGCGAACACTAGTGGCAATGCCAGGACAACGCCTCTGAGCAAAACACCAAAAGCATTTTTCAGCGGTAGTCCATCGAAAAGAGGAACTATGTCGTATATCGGTAATCAAGTCGTTGGAGGAGGTGCAACTCCTGTTGCGCCTAGCGAAAAGAATAGCTCCACAGCAGGGGCTTCCAACATAGTGGAGGTTCCCGAGACGCGGTCTGTCACGCTATCGCAAGCTATCAGTCTGCGTCGAGGTTCCTCTGTGCCGAATCTAGCCGCACAAGCGTTCGTTACACCTGAGAAACAAGGTGGTCGTGGAATGATGCTGAGTACTATGGGCGGTTCGTCGCAGACTCCTTCAGCAGCTGGAGGTGTACGAGGTGGCGCAACGCCGGCAAGTACGAGGAGACATCCTGGGTTTGCTTCAGGTGTGAGAACTGGCGCAACACCGTCAGCGCGCACAACGACAACCGCTGGGCATTTAACGGCGACTGCGGGCAAGACGAAACTAGTGCTGGCGGATCTGTGAGGTTTAGTATTACATTTGCTAATAGAGACGAAGAAAAGTAAGATTTTTTGTCATAATGTAGATGTACGGATAGGAAAGTCAGCTTCGTATCCTATGAATGAACAAAATACATACTTATGCGATACTTCGAACACTAAAAGTGAAGAAATAACATTCACGTCGAACCTATTCTTAAGAGTCCTATCGAAGCAACATGATTTCGATTTGTAAAACACTAGAAGAAAATGAAAACTAGAATGTCCTCCTATAGTGTGATTTCTAAAAAAATCGCTACTCTTGCATGGAATCACTGTACTAGCAAATCAAGCTCTACTACCATTGATTGGTTGGGAATCGAAATGTAGCCATAGATACTTATGCTTGTCGTCAGTCTTGTAGCCGTATCTTCCACCAATTGAACTTGATCATGCACGCATGCCTTTCATCTGGTCAAGCACAAAGCCCCTAATTATACTTATACAATTTTTGAAGGCTTTTTTGTAAATATGTTGCCAGTGGTGCGGCACAATGCACAGATATGTTGTAGATGAAACGAGGAGAAATCGTACTTCAGTCGGCCTGTTTGCTACACAACATGAGCACAAAACAAAGAAAACAAGAAAAGCCGAAGGATTTGAATGAGTCGAAGGATTTGAAAGGAGTAACAGACCAGACGCGTCAGATGTAGCGGAGAAAGTGATGAGAGAGATCAAAGCGATGGGCTTTTTTTTTTTGTAGACTTTCAAAGGATAGAATGTGTAGGCGTCTCGGCCTCACTTTTGTAGGATCTTTTAGTAGCGGACTTGTTTTGTAAAGAGTCGACCAAAATCATTCCCATTGAAAAAGTCGACCCCTTTGAAACAAAGTCGAGAGTCTGGGCGGAAATCTGGCTAAAGAAGTCGGCCTTTTGGGGTCGCGCTCGCGGGGCGCCTGCCTTGAGCCGTTGCGCCCTTGCTTCGCTTCGGGTAGCTTTTCTGCTTTTCTCGTGTCGTGTCGCTGATGCATTCGCGAGTAATTCGGCGGCAGTCTTTGTGTGTGGCTTTGTTGGTTCTCAAACTCTGCAGAGGGTTCTTGGGTGTTGAATTCTGCGGCAGCGGATCAGCAAAGACGACTGAAAAAGCCCCCGGGCTTTTTTTGGTCGTTTTTTTCGATCGGTTCTGCTTTTGTGTGCTTTGGTGGAGTGGCTCGGCTCGGTCGGGGGTGCACGTCTTAGGGGTCTCGATTGAGGGGCGTGCACTGCTGAAGGTGGTCAGGGTGGCGGGGGGTTGTCGGTGCTGGGGTGTGGTGCTCCTGGTCTTCTGGGTGTTTTCGTGTTGCTTTTCAGTGGGTTGGCTTTGCTTGTGCTTGTCTTCTGTTGCTTGCTCGTCTTGCCCTGATCCATGTGGAGGGGCTCGAGGCATTTGGCGGGGCGTCTTCGCTGTGGGGTGCCCACACTGAGTCACGGCGCCGGGGCTTGACGACTGTCGCAGCAGCTCGCGCGGAAGTGCCGGGCTTCGCATTCGAAGGAGCGGGGGGTAGGGTTTGGGTTGCCGCTGACTCTTCTAAAGTGACGGCGAAAAATGTGTAAGTTTTTTTTTTGCTTTTTTCAGGTTCGGAAAACATGTCCAAACAAACGGTTAAAATTTGGTTAAAATAAAGATTGGGACTCGCACTCGCAAGACGCACTCGCGCTCGCACTCGCACTTGCACTCGCACTCGCACTCGCACTCGCACTCGCAAGACGCGACTGGCACTCGCAAGAGAAGACTGACGCGACTCGCACTCGCAGGACGCGACTCGCACTCGCAGGACGCGACTCGCACTCGCAGGACGCGACTCGCACTCGCAGGACGTGACTCGCACTCGCAGGACGCGACTCGCACTCGCACTCGCAGGACGCGACTCGCACTCGCAGGACGCGACTCGCACTCGCGCTCGCACTCGCAAGACGCGTCGCGCACTCGCAAGACGCGGCCCGCACTCGCAAGACGCGGCTCGCACTCGCAGGGGTTTGTGAGTTCATGAGTGCGTGCGTGGGCTGGGGTGAGGGTGAGGGTGTGGTCGGAGCGTTTGAGCCTGGGGCGTTTGGCTTTGGAGGGTTTCTTTGAGTTTGGAGAGTTTGACTTTGGAGAGTTTGACTCTGGAGAGCTTGACTTTGGAGAGTTTGACTTTGGAGAGTTTGACTTTGGAGAGTTTGACTCTGGAGAGTTTGAATCTGGAGAGTTTGAATTTGGAGAGTTTGAGTTCGAAGAGTTTGGATTTAGACTGAGAGCGCAAGTCTGGCGGGGTTGTTGTTAAATTTTGTTTAAGCTCTTTAATATTTTCGAAGTCGAAGCCTTTGTTTCCCTCTCTTTTTTGGTTAGTTATGCTGGATAATGCACAGAAAATGATCTAAATGCTGTTGAAGCCCATCGCTGTGCGTCTTCTCCCTTGTGGCGTTAAATCAATGTTCATTCTTCATGAAATTAACCAACCAACTTTTTTGACTGCTTGCTTTTTCTTATGCGTTGATGGAGCTATCAATAGGTTTTATCATATTGTATATAAATATGTAATTTGATTCAAATTAGTAGCACTAGTACACGGTCTTGTACGAGGACCAGCGCACTAATACACGGTCAACCAGGACGAGGACCACAAGACCGTCTTGTCAAGACGCGTCGCGTGGTCACAAGAGTCCTCGTGTGGTTCATCTTGGCGTCACGTGTTGTCTGCCTGCGCGACTGGTCTTGGCGCAGCGTTGAAGACAAAACCGCGACGACTGGTCGTGTTGAAGACAAAAACGCGATGGAAGAAAAAAAAACTTTCTCCAGCGTGACACCAGACGAGCATGTCCCAGACGGCGGAGGAGGGAAGAAGAAGATGGATGAACATGAAAGGGGCAGGACTGATCACGATAGAAAGCCTGGTGGCCATGATAAGAAGACTGGTGGCCATGATAGGAAGACCTGTGGCCATGATAGGAAGACTGGTGGCCATGATAGGAAGACTGGACTACGACAGCATCACTTTTACAACCATCAAGAAATGGAAACTGGTAGTCGTAGCACATCGTCAAGCTCTTCTTCTTCCTCCGCTAGTTGTAGTGCTGCTCCACCTTCTCAGATGATGAAGAGGCAGTTGATACAGCAGCAACTTCTGAAAAACAAGAAAAACACTAGAAGCAGGGTGAAAAAATGTTGTAGTAGTTCTTCTACTTGCTTCTCGTCGTTCTTGTCCCCTAGATCTAGAACTACTAGAACAGGGCGTCATGATATTTTTAATACGTGGAGAAGTTGCATAAGAAGTGGTACTAGTTGTACAACGTGCAACGTCGCATGGTGGCGAAAGTGGTGCGCAAGGATACGGAACTATAGCACCTCTCCCAACATTTCTTCACCTGGCAAAACCACACCCAGCAGAAAGAAGAGAAAAGACGGGACCCCTACTTCTACCGAGAGGACGACGCCTCCTTCATCTAGCTCCAGTGGAACGAGAAGTCCCGGTGGAACGAGAAGTCCAGGAACTGCAGCAACGCTGACTCCTGGCACGTCTTCAAGTCCGTCTGTTGGGAGTTCTCATGATACGCCGGGAACTACAACTTGTTCTCGCTCTTCTTCTAGTGCGCCAGGATCTAGTTGTCTAGGCACTACAAGTGGGATGCGTGACATCATGAGAGGCATCTTCACGCCTACGGCGACTACTACTCCTGTTGTAAGAGCAGCAAGCAATACAGGAGCAATGTTGACTCCATCGCGAAGAGGGAGACCGAGAACTTTCAGCAGTACAAGTCCTCCGACCTCTACGAGCTCACGACTTCTAGGTTCTCCGGAGAATAGTGAAAGCCCTACTTCATCTACTTGGGTGTGGTCCTCTGGTATGTCGCAGCTGATGAACAGTAGAACAACAGTGCGACAACTTTTTGAGCATCTAAGTAGTTTTATTAGTAGAAGTGCAACCACGACTACAACACCTAAGAGAAGAACTACAGGACGAAGGAGTACAAGTGGAAGTGGAAGTGGAGGTAGAAGAAGAAGAAGAAGAGACACTACACGACCTACACCAGGTAGAAGAGCCCCCACCTCTTCGTCGATAGACGAGACAGCAGGCACAGGAACGCCCTCTCCGATAGACGAGCACGAGGTGCGTTTAGAAAACTTTGCAGCTCGGAGAGGCTTCCTACATTAAGGCGACAAAAAATCACTCTACGTTCCCAGCATCGTACTTGGTCCTCCCGTTTTTCCACAGCGAATAAACGGGAACCATGCTGACGGTGGAAGTGGAATTCCGTTTCTCTGAGTTCTAACCACAGATACCGTTAGAGGCGTATGGGGTATTCGGTGTGATGCTCCTCCTTCTTTGCATCATGACCTCGTGGACGTCGCCATGGTCTTACATCGATCACTACCAGCAGGAGCTAATATCAGCCACTTCCCCTAGTGCTCCTATGGTTCACGACGATCAAGATACAACAGGCGCTAATACTACTAGTACTACTAGTTCTACTAGGGACGAGTCGTCTGCTCCTGGTGCAACTGGAGGAGGTTCTAGCACTGCTACAACTAATGAGTCAACAGCAGAGAAGTTCTTTGCTGGTTCTGGTTCTCCTGGAGGTACTATAATTGGTTCTTTATCGTCCAGTATCAGGAAAGCATTATTCCCTTTCGTTGTGCAAGAGCCTCCAGCTGAGGGGGAAGCGTCCTCTGATGTTGTAGAGCAGGAAGCTTTACCACAAGATCCCGTCAAAGCGGACGTTGTAGAGCAGGAGGCTTTGCCACAAGTGGATGTGGAGGAGAGTAGAAGAACTAAGTCTACAACTAAGAGTAAGAGGCCTTCAAGTAGGAGAACTAAGTCTTCTTCCAGATCCAGAGGAGAGCAGGGAAATTCAAGAACACCAGCTAGGTCTAGCTCTAGAAGTTCTAGTTCTAGTACACGAGAGTCGGCTTCTACATCTACTGCTAAGGGTGACCCTGGAGAATACGTGACTGATGAGCCTGAAGGTGGTGAGCATCTTCATCAGGCAACAGAAACACAACTCCGCGAAGAACACCGAGGACACGGGTCGTCAAGTAAACACACTAGAACAAGAACTAGAAGAAAACTGCCGCGGAGAAGTAGGAGCATGGCGTTGACGATGACTGAGGCTTCTCTCTTAGAGGACAGCTCTGAGGGCTACTTCTCCACTTCTGCTGCGGTCTCCCAGAGTGATCATCATGTTCATCAAAGAACCTCTCGCGGCACGACCACAAGTTCAACAAGTCCTTCCCTTTTGGAAACTCATGTTACAACAACTCCTCATGGCGATGGCAAAACAAGTGGGACAACTTCGTCTTCTCTCTTGGAGCAAGAGAAGCAGCCGACGCCTTCCTCTTCCACTCCTGGCGCCAATAGGGTTGGGGCTACCACTTCCACTCCTGGCGCCAATAGGGTTGGGGCTACCACTTCCACTCCTGGCGCCAATAGGGTTGGGGCTACCACTTCTTCACTGTTGGAACAAGCGAGGCCGTCGTCTTCGTCGTGTTGTGGTTGTTGTGTAATCGACGCTGACGTTGATGATAAAGTGGAAATTGCATACGACACCTTTAAGGCTTAGTTTTTTACTATCGTCCGGTGTGGACGTGGAGCGAGTACACTGTTGAGAGAGTCAGTGTCAGTGGAGTAAGTACACTGAGAGTAGAGTCAGTGTCACTGATCAAGTGTTACAACTGAGGAGTAAGTATCCCGACCTGTGCAACCTTCCTTATTATAGAATAGTTTACAGAACGGACGTAGGATGGACTTGGATGGAGCGGATGGACCCCCCTAAGTCTTCTGATCCTCCTGGAAATGATGGGAATTCCATCCGTTCCATCCGATCCTGGACCTGGCACCCCTATAAATTAAATTCTATAGTAGATACTACATCTACATGAAGTATGGAACTTTAGTCGTTGTTCACAGTCACGGACTGATAAGTGAACACGCCAACCCCAACGCCTAAACCACTAAGCCAACTGCGCTTAGTGGTTTAGGCGTTGGCTTGTTCTCTTATCAATCAAACTACCGGAGTTGGCTCGGCCGCCTTTCTCGCGGTCTCTGTCGCTAGGTACCCCCTGCCGTGGCTAGGTGGGTCACCGCCTTGCATTTGCGGCCGGTATCACTAGGCTACCAGGCTCATTGGGGTCTGGACTTGCGGCATTCTCGCGATCTCTGTGGCCAGGCTCCCTCCTTCTGTTCTTGGGTGGGACCGGTCAAGTTTGCTGATGTCGGGCTCATCGGTGGCTGCGTCTTACAGACTTGGCCCATTCTGTGGCGGGTGTGTGCACGGGGGCGCGCTCAATCAGACGCCTCCCACTCTTTGGCCTCGATGCGTCTTTTGGACTCTGTCGCTTTTTTTGATATTACCGGGACTCGCGCCTTAGGTAGTCCTTTGGAGATTTCGTAAAGGGGAAAAAATTCAAAAGGGAAAGAACCAAGTCTCAACGAAGAACCCACTTAGCCTTACTTCAATCCAAGGGACCCGACCAAGGGGGACTGACGCGGGGCATATCACTCAACTCTTCAAAAGGGATACTACAGTAACAGACCAGGCGGCAACCTCCATGCGTCAACCTATCACTCAACGTCAATAAAGTGGGAAAACAACCTAGGACTGATAGCGAAAAACTACTAGCGCTTCTTCTAACACCTACATCTATTGGTCGGTAGATGCGGACGGCAAGCGGAAGAAAATCAGAGAAGAAAGAAGGCCGTTCGTCAAGGAGGACAAAACGAAGAGTCTTCAGGTCGAAGATTATGGTAGACGAAAGTGTAGACATATGATTGACTTGTTTGATGTCGAAGATTATGAAAAACTCTTTTGTGGTTATTTAAAGTTTACAAGGATGTTTCTTACCTCAAGTTGTAGTGCATACCGTTATCACGGTGATAATATTTTTAGACGAAAATTTAGACAGACGAGCGAATAACAGAAATTCTATGAGAGTTCTTGTGAAAAGAACAAAGAGAGCTTCGTAATTTGTTACCTTTATACAACAAGTAGACCAACAAGAGGAGCTTCTCCTTCTCCCTCTAAAAACTTGATCAAGACCCTGGGGCACAAAGGTGCTGTCACGGTCAAAGCTGTGAGAGCTGTTGCTTCTGTGATGAAGAGGACGAACGTGTAATAAGGCAGCCAACAACGAAGGACATCCTCATTCACACTGTTTTACGGCTTGTTCTTATCGTATTATTTCAGCATCTTTGGCTCCTTTTTGTTACCGTAAAATTAAGAATTCGTTAAGTAAGGTCCACCTAAGTCTTCTAACTACAGCGCGAGGAGCGAACCTCCCAGCAGTTTCCCTGGAAGCCGCAACGGAGACTGTCGTGCAAACTATCCAACAACAACAGGAACAACTTTTAAGGCTCCAGGTGATCCTTGTTTCCGCAGTATCAAAAATCTCGCTACTTTTCAGTAGTAAGTCGCTTTCTATTGCTTATTTCAGCTTATCGAATACAAAGAAAAGGAGTATTGAGGATGCGGATGGGCATCCTCACCTGACCGGAAATGTTTCAAGAACTCTTCTAATCTTCGATGAAGCGATAGGAAAAATGCAAGAGAGAATACGAGACGCTGCAGATGGCAACGGAGGAGAGTATGGGGATGACAACATGATTGATTCGGTACTTTCGAAGAATCCCAAATTTTAGTCTTGAACTCCTTTGACCTGAAAAATGGATCCTCCTGGCGTCCGGCAGTGTTCGTGGATTAGTATAGTAGTCAATTTCCATGCTAGTACATCTTTAGCTTTACACTCCTTCGAAGTAAATTCCTTGCTTCTATTTGATACCCCGTGAATGGGTCCACAGATAGATACCCCGTGAATGGGTCCAGAGTTCTTGTAGCCTATGAGCTAGAGCTACCCGAGTCGTCGTGACTCACTCTATGCTAGGTACACTGCTGCCCCCACTAATTTATTTATACAGTTAATATACTACAACTTCTTCTGCTACTCCTCGAGCTCCTGTTTCACTCTTCAATTTCCTAACATGATCGACAACAGCAGTTGTAGCATAGTAGGTAACTCTTCACATCATGATCAACTACAACATCAGGCTGCTCTTTTGGAGCAGGTTGCGGAAGCTGAGCAAGCTCTGAAGGACTTTGATGAGAAGCACTTGCAGGAACACAAGGCTGAGCTTGAACAACTAGAGGCCGAGCTGAATAATGCTTCAACGCCGGAAGTTAAGATGACGAGATGGATTTGGATTCCCTCCTATGCTATCCTATGAGTGTTATCCTATGCTATCCTATGAGTGTTATCCTATGCTATCCTATGCAGCTCTCCCGCAGTCCTATCAATCTTATCCTACAACATCTCATGAGCTTGCGCTTCTCCTTCTGGTGTCACTCCTGTCTGAGAAGTCTGCGTCTCCTTCTAACAAGGCAAAGGCAGAAGTACAAGCGAAGATCGATGCAAAGAAGAAGGAAATTCAAGAGGCTGAGGAACAAATCACTGCCGCGAAGGAGAAGCTGGAAAAAATAAAAGCTGATATCGAGGTGCTGGACACTACCGAGAAAGAAGGAGTGAAGCCACTGACGGACATGCTGAATGACGTCTCAAATTAAGGTCTTACTTAGTCGTCCATCTTTATTCAGCTGAGTGAAGAATATTAAGCTCATATTACAGAACAGTTACAGTTTATAACACGAATGGCGGTTGGCACGGTTGGCACGAATGACACGGTTGGAACAACCCAACAAAGCCAAAAAGTGCCATGAGTGGCGCGGTTGGCGTTGGCGCAAGCGGACAGGGATAGGGGTGCGAAGGGCTGCAATTCTACGGAGAGCCCCCCTGCCATTTTCAAAATGGTGAGGTAGGTAGCCAGAAACAAGGCCGACCTGGCTGCTCTCTAACGAGTGCGGATCCTAGTGCGGCCGACCGTCGGAGGGCTGGGCTCTTTCTTGGGACTACCGTGCGGGCCACGCAAATTCTGGCGGACTTGCATGACCCCCGCGGAATTCCACGAGAGGAATGCTGGCGCTGCGACGAGGCGGGTGCTTTAGCATGCGGCCTCCGCCCTAGGGTGCTCAGCTGATCCACCGCGCCGCCGCTGTGGGAGACCGGCGACGGAGGCGGGCCGTGGCTTGGAGGGCGGGTCGGAGGCGTGGCAGCTTTGAATCGCGCGCGGCAGAGGAGGGCTGGAGCAAAAGTAACGCGCCCGAAGGGCGCCGGGTTTGCGGAGGCTACTGAAGCGCAACGCCGTGGAGGGTGTGGCAGATTGGTCGCAGGGCGCCCGAGTGGGGTTCCGAAAGTATGTGCGCAGCATTCAGAGAGAGCGGCAACGCCGCGGGGGAGACATCGCTTGAAAACGCAGGGCGCCTGAAGGGCGCCCTGCTCTCGAAGGTCTGATAGGTCCACGAATGGCACGAATGGCGGAGCACATTGAAGCCCCGGACTGGATGCTTGCCATTCGTTCCAACCGTTCCACTCGTGCCATGCCAACCGGCCCCCAGGAACCTTATAAACTCTTCTGTAAAAAAAGTAGTTTAGTTGTACCTCTTCTACAGATACAAGACAGCTTTCTATCTCTTAGGGAGAACAAGTTTCTTTAATTCTAAGGCCAATGGGATTAGTTGCGCCTCTTCTACCTCTTAGGTTCTTCGTCAACTACGTGCTCAGCAGGTTAATATTTAGCTCATGATCGGCAAGCTGTCGACACAGATACAGGAGGCGAGTTCTAATCAAAGTTAGAAACTGGAAGCGATGGCGCCTCTCTGGAAGCGCTGAGAACGGCTCTCGCAGAAGCTGACGCAGCAAGGGAAGCAGTATCAACTAGGTGTCAAGGCGCAGTGCAAGCGATGGAGAATGAGGGGAACGCACACCTCGAAGGACTGAGAGAATTACTATTAAGGCTTGTTTCACTAAGGAATCTTTGACTGCATCCTTGAAAACTATGACGAATGCGGGAGTTGTATCTCACTGCGATACTCTTCAGGGGTACAGCTGAGACGAGAAGATCAACTGTATGGATAGCTCTAATGCTTGTCAGCAAAGGGATAGCAGAAGGGCAGGTGAAAAGCAAAATAGACGCTGTCCGACAGGGAGTGGAACAACAAGAAGCAGCAGCTGCTTCAAGTGCCAACACAGCGCACCAGGTGACTTTATTAAGGCTATCGCTAAAGCATCCTCATTATCATGTATGATCCTATTTCTTTGTACTTGGCTCTTTTACTTACTTATATAATTTCTACTTGAAAAAGACACCAAGCACGTAGGATGCTCTCAAGGATGCCAATGCGGTTAAAATATATCTAACTTTGCAAGGGCTTGGTCTGAATCCATGGACACTTGCACAAGAACAGAACGCGGAAGCGCGACCTGCGACTTCGCGAAGCAGGCCCAGGTCTGCACAACTTCCCAAGGCAGCACCTTCATCTCAGGCCACAGGAGGTACTGCGCCAAAAGGAAAGGCGTCTTTCATTAAGGGTTGGAAGTTGGCATCTCTATGAGCATCTCTATGATTTCGTTAAGTAGGAAAGCCATAGATACGCGAGCCAGAGCGGTCAACTTTCAACCCCTAACGTCATTCAGAAGCAAGACATGAAGGAGCAGCAAAGTAGTAGTTTCATGTGGTCCTCCTCGACATTGACGAGTCCCCCGTCATCTTCATCCTTTTTAGAACAACTGCAGATGAAAAAAGAGAAGTTTACTGATTTAGCGGCAGCGGAGAAAGAGATGAAAGACGCTAAGGAGAGGATCGTAGAACAGGACGAAGACTGTGAAAAGGCCGTGAAGGATGTGCTGGAGGCGAAATTGAAGGCGTTGCGTCTCGCTGCTGAGTTGTATAGTAAAGCGCAAGAGCTCCTAGTCAGGTTATCCGGAGGAGGTGGAGATGCCCAGTCTTACTTCTCGAAGCTAGATGCTGAAGATGCAGCAAAGAAATTGGGTGTAGTGGCTGGTGCCGATGTTCTGGAGGTTAGGTTGCAGCGTATCTTAGGCGCAGCAGATACGGTCCTAAATTAAGGCTCAGCTTTCAATGGTCACCATTTAGATTGGAGTCACTGAGATCGAAGAGGCGACCCTTCTTGAGAGAACCAACAAGGGAAATAAACGAAGGGAAAGGGGACGAGACCTTTGAGGGGGGTATCTTCCGTTCAGAGTCAGTGACCAATGAGTGCCGAGCTTTAATTAAATCATTTGCAAGGTTCTGGAGGTGGTGCGAATGGTAGAAGAAGCGCTGGTGCTGAGAATATGGCTGGCGCTGTCGAGAATACTGCTGCTGATGGGGGTGCTGAAGAGTCTGGTGCAGGAGGAGCAGACTTGGCTGGTGAACTCGATGCTTTCTTGGCGTCTGAACCGAAAGTAGAGGACATTATAAAAGACGCATTCGATAATGGAGGCGAAACAGCGAAACAGTATCTCTTAAGGCTGGATTTAAGTGCTTCTTAAAAGTTGGTTTTGTGCAACTACTCACTCCACTAATATTAAGGGCAGCTTTTATCCATCTTTCTCGGCATCTTGGTGCCCTTTATTTCCCTTGTATTCTCATGAAATACAAGGTGCAAGGGGTCAAGATGAGGTGAGGGCCGAGATGCAATCTAGCCGACTCTAATAGTACGCTGCTCCTTAAATCGTGTTGCTTTTATTCCCTCAAGCTCAACATAGGTCAAGGTTATTTCCCTCATCTAGTGCTTAGAAGTTGTTGTGTGAAATCAACTGAGCCTGATCATGTGGCACACCCTCTTTTATCTTTTTCTCTTTAACAACTTGAAGTCAGACAATTGTCACCAAGGTTCGCATCTCCACCAAATTTCCTATTTATGTTAAAGTTTACTATTTTGCTACCTCAAGTAGAAGAACAAACTGTTATTATTTCTTAAGTTGGTATCCTCTAGCTCCAGCGGATTGTGTAGATGGATCATGTACAACAAGCTAACAACTACAGCACTAAAAACTCAAACTATGACTTTCTTCGTCCCGTATAGAGGATGGACTTTTGCAGCCGCTTCTTCTTCTAATCATGGACGCTCACGAAGAAAAGTCTTGGCAGCCGTTGAAAAATGATGAGGTTGCTGCAAAGGCCAAGGCCGCTTGTCTAGCTGCAGTGGAAGAAGCCTATAGAAATTCGAAGAAAGCGAAGGGGAAAAATGGAAAAATTCTAGATGAATTTTGGTGCTACGCTCGGACCGAAATCGAGACCCTCACCTCCAATGGGGATGAGGTGCAGAGTATGATAAACGACATTGAAGCCGAAATCGTCACTGTGGAAAAGGAGATGGGCGAAGCGTTGGAGGAGATGAAGAAGTTGTTGGAAGATGATACAACTACAACAGGTACTAATTTCTGCCTAGTAGGATTGAAGAATATTGCGAGAAGTACAGCTTGTCCTTCAGCAGGTGCGCGTTTTGAAATCTTCTAGTTGTAGCACTACACTTCACTTTCATCAGGAGCTTCTATTCTTTTTTAATTTCAATTTTTGAGTCTCTTACGAATATAATTCGAATCGTAGAATTATGCTCGTATTTCCCGGCTCTTTTCTCACGCCTACCAGTTTTTGATTTCGATTTTTCCTATAATCTTCCTCATCTTCTCTGTTTTACTAGGCGTCGACACTTTAAAAGCTACCGCTGAAGAATGCAAAACAATCGAGCAAAGAGTAGTGGACGAGACTAACGCGGCTATCAAAAACGCAGGCGACACGCGTAAACAGATTCTAGATTCAATTAAGGCTCAACATTTAATGTGGACTAGTAGAGTAGTATGTAAAGAACTCCCAATCCATACGTTTTGCAGATTCTTCATCTTCGCAGACGAGAACGTAGGCACTTTCGGCCTGCCGATTAAGGGTTGAAGTATTTCACTTTTCCACGCTTTTCTCCCTTATTAAGTCGATTGCTCTTTAAAAATGAAATGCTTCAACCTTAGTTCCCTTCTTGATCTCACCTGGGACTATTTTCGTGACTGCGTAGAAGCTGCTTTCTTGGATTCCGATAGAAATTCTGAGAGATTGATGTAGCTGTGCGCTAATTTGAGTAATCCTCTAGCTATCGGCGGGCTACAAGCAAACGTCGCGGCGTTCACAAAAGGCATCACGTACACGAGGAAGGGAGACCTTCTCAAGGCCATCCAAGAAATGTGCACAGATAAAGCAGATGCTGCGCATGAGCAGGGAAAGCAGCTGAAGGAGAATTACGGTGGTCAGCGTTTTTTTTATAGGCCTAGAAGTGGTTGCTCATCTCATTCTATATATTCTATTTGTAGAGATCTTCCTTCGACCCCTTCGTCAAGGACAAGCAGAAATGTCATGGACTTCCTTGTTGGAGTACTTCTAAATCCACATGTAGAGACTCGTCGTTGTCTCTGTCAGTAAGTCTACTCAGCACTTGTTCTATCGTGGTACCCTTTTCCTGTCCACACTTCCGGATAGAATCTCTCTCAGCGCCGCTTTTATCGTGGTTGTGCCGACCCCGACGGTTGTTCCCTTTCATCCCCATAAAATCTCTACTCGCTAAAAAAAGTTGACAGCGCTACAGAACAAAGTGGATGACGCGCAGCGACGTAAAGTTGCTCTCGATGCAAAACTTGAGGAAATGTCACAGGCAGCTTTTTTAGAGGTGAATGTGAATGCTGTTGTTGCAAGAACTTCTTCGCGTCGTCCTCCCGGTCGTCTACGTGCATCCATGATGCTCCGTGATCAAGATGCCTTGCAACTACGCCAAGAACGTCGAGCAACAGAAAGAACTCAAGAGACGACCACGTCCTTCTCATCATCATCTTCATCGGTCTACTTGCAAATGAACGAGCACCAGACTACGACCACGACGAGGACCGAGCAAGCAGTTGGTAGTGGTGATTCGATCAAGGAACAGACGGATACTCTGTGGAAACAGCATACAGACCTACACGACCAGTGCAAAGCAAGCGCAAAGCGGAGTCAGATTTTATGGCATCATTCATGGACTTAGACCACCGTCACAAAAGTCATGTTCTAGTTCTTGAAGTTTCTGTTGCACAACTTCTGCATATCCAAACATGAACAAGTGCGAAGAATGTATTCTATCTTTTCGCAACCTACTCCAACTTACTACTTCTACCACCATCGTGTTTATGTATAATACTTCGTCTAATTTTTGTGGTACATCGAAACTGGGCTGCTGAGATGGTAGCACTTGAGGTGGAGAAAATGGCACGTAAAGCGATCCTCAAAAAAGCATTGAAGAAGGAGATGCAAGAAACCACAGTTATGATGAAGAATGCTTGTTTTTTCCGGTAACACCTACTTACTCCAACCTAGTACAGATTTATTTTTGATGAAGCTGCAGGTCGTGCTCGTGGGCGAAGCTGAAGGTTGTTTAGAGAGGTACTAGAGCAGTAGAGCTTCTACGTAGAGTCTACATGCTTACTCGTCTTACTCACACTCTTTATTTGGTACAACTCTGACTCAGTCACAGTCACTGCCCTCGTCTAATGAACTCGGAAAAGTTGACGGACAGGACGTGACCTTTCAAACGTTGACGGAGAAATTGAAGGCCCTTGCGGAAACTTGTACAAAGAAAACTGCTGACTTGGAAGCTGTAGCGAAAGCCGCTTCAGCCGACGCAGATTTTTTTGAGCAGCTTGTTGGAGACACTCCAGATAAAAATAACGAGGAAAAGATGAAGGAGTATACTGTTAAGGCTGTAGAAGTTCATGTGGATATCGCTGATGCTTGGAACGGAGTGGTCGTTCTTGTGGATCGCTAACGATATTATAATTGATGCTTGGGACGGAGTGGTCGTTCTTGTGGATCGCTAACGATATATTATAATAATTGCTCACTCTTCTACTACACCGTTGTATTTGATCTTGATGTACTCTTTGAAGATGTAGCAAGACTACCTGACAGCACTCATGATGCCATGCCATGGTGCTTGATTCTACTTAGTAGAACAACAAAATGTAAATGACAGCGACCAAATGAAAGAGGAGCATGAAGATGCTTTTCTACAGGACGTTGAATTTCTAGAGTCCTCTTCTTCTAACATTGGAGACGATTCTGCCGCTCGAAAAAAAGCTCTCGTTGCGAAATACTATGAGCAAAAGCCAGGAGAAGATCCCTGTTCGGAGTTGAAGGTAGATCCTATAACTACATCCTCGTTTCTACAGCAGCTTCCATCTAGTAGGAGAATTGGAATTGCGTTTTTACTGGAGGACAGCGAGATGAAGTTTGGACCGGACGACGAGCCTAACGACAAGGCTATGTGGACGTCTAGGAGTGCAGCTTCTTCATCTAGTGCAGCTTCTCCATCCACAAAAACTTCATCTAGTGCAGCTTCTGCATCCACTAGAACTTCATCTGAGCGGGAACTTCTCCATCCACTTGGAAGTTCTTCACCAAGAGCGGGGGCAACATCAAGTGGAAAGGCAGCATCGTCCCCTTCTATTTCTTCTTTCTTGGACAGAATTAGTGGCGGTCGTGGAGATGCAAGCGCTGCAAATCTTTTGGCGCAGAAACTCTCGGACATGCGAAAAAAAGCGAAAGACCAACTGGCTGAAATAGACAAGATTAAGGCCACTAACTTGGCCTGTTTCTACTATCACCAGAAGCGTCTTGGGGCTGTTTCTTCCATATTGAGGGGGAACCAACGACGTCAAGAACTACATGAGTCTCAAAATGGAATGCTTAGAAGAAGTACACGACCAGTTAAAGAATCGCCAATAGGTTGAAGCACTTGAAGAGCGCTAATAAGAAGTACACGACCAGCGCAGACGAATCACGACAGTCTGGAGCTGGATTTCTGAACTTATCGAAGAGGAGCTCAGGAGACGACCAGAAGCGCGAATTGAAAAGAGGAATCGAGGAAATTCGCTCCACGGCTGCCGGAAATGAGGAGGTGCCGGCGCTGCCGGAAGAAAAAGACAGTACTACTGCTAATAAACTTCATGAAGTTTGATAAATTTACTTTCATCAGGCTGACCTAACCTTACCTAAGCATAGTTGTACTCGTTATCTCTCGCGAAGCCGTTGCAGTTTGCACCTAGCAATTTCTTGGCATGAGAAGTGATGCCCTTGAGCTTGAACTTGTTCACTAGAAGAAGAAGTTGAACAACTACACAGGTCTACTTCTGTTCGGCGTAGTATTCAGGACGTCGTGTACTTCCTAATCCTAGCCTGGTCGTGTGAGTACTCGACGTCTTTCCTAGAAGTTGTACAAGAACACAGGTGGAGCTCCCGCCTTCCTACGCCTGATGTACAAGCGATCTACGATCTTATCTGTTAGTCTCTTGGGTGATCTGTTAGTCTGTTAGATTCCTTGTAGTAATCAGCATGATCGAGATCAACACGGCAACCAGGTTGGCCACTCGCAAAAGCGTGGGACACGTTTTTTGCATACGATTCTCTTATCTCTGACAAGATGTGGGACTTGCTCACGGCATGTGGAAACTTGGTGCCGGAATTACGGCTCCAGGGAATCTATCTTGAGGTCTTGAGGAGCATCTACTTCTCTATCTATCTCTAGGGGCGGGCGCCCCTGCTCTTCTAAAAACAAAGGGATCATGAAAAGAGGATCTCCCAGGATGGGCCTCAAAGATGGATTTTCCCGGGAGGAAAATCTAACGAGAGTAGAATCTCTTTCCGGAGGTGCACCCACAGAGAGCGACTTTGTAGATGGCATAAAGGAAGCTCGGGAAGCAGTCAAGGCGGCGGGCACAGTGTCCAAAAAAGCAGACGACGTGGTCGACGAATTGGAGAAACGGATCTTGTTAAGACATTCTTGACAGACACACTAACAGTTGATCCATGTAAGTACTTAAGTATCTTCTACGTACTCCTTCTAGTAATGAATGTTGATCCATCTACATATCTGTACTCTATGTACTATAGCAGATATGTTGGAGTTGATGTAGTTCCATGCCCTATATGGAGTAGTTCTATGTACTGTGGAAAAATGGGATTCCGCACGCCTTATCTCTTCCTACTCTATGGAGAGGTATGGCGTCTCGACGTCGATGCAAAAGCGACGAGAGAGAGGCAGCACCCTAATACGAGTATACATAATTGCAAAAGAAAAGTATTAGGACATATCGTTGCGGGATCCCCGACCGACCCTGTAGAACAAGGGATGAGGAATCATTTTTGTTAACTAGAGTCAATATTGGTTATAATAAATTAACTAGAATCAATTTGGGTAGCTAGAATTTATTGGGGTAACTAGAATCAATTTGGGTAGCTAGAATTAATTGGGGTAACTAGAATTAATTGGGGTAACTAGAATTTATTTGGGTAACTCATAGAATCAATCGGGGCAACTTTAACTAGAATCAATCGGGGCAACAAGAATCAATTTGGGTAACTAGAATTAAAGGAATTAGAATTATCAACACTAACAGGCATGAAGAGTCTTGATCTTCAAAATTCCCATGGTTTCTAAGTTTGCAAGGAGCAAGGGAAATGGCTGCTGCAATGGAGGAGGCCAAAAGATTGCAACAAGCGGCCGCCAAAAAGAGTGCAAAGGAGGAGTGCAAGGCGACGATAAGAGCCATCGAAAAGCAGGCGGCGAGGCTAAAAACTCCTGAAGCCAGCGGCCCTCCTGGTGTGGTAGCGACATACGCGAAACTTTTCAATGAGGATATACCGAAGATCGTCGACGAACTCCAGAACGCTTTCAAAGCAGATGGAAAGTTTTTGACAAGCGCAAAACCGCCTCCGACGTACGTGGATGCTTTTCGGATCGTCGCAGATATCTTCTTATGAGCAAATTTCTGTGGTTTTGGCTTTCATAATTCTACTGGCAATGGTAATCCACCTGATCCTCACTCATCCTGGTCCTCATCTTCTAACGATGGTGCAAGAAGAACTACAAGTGACGCCACCTTTCGCCGCGGCTCTGGGGACGCATATTGACGTACTGGCCACGGGGAAGGCACGCGGATTATACACAACTGGACGAGGAGTCAGCGATGCAGAACAAGAGTTATGAATTGATATCAGTTAGTGCCTCTACTTCTACTTCTCTTCAGCTATTAAATTTGGATGTGATGACTTATCAAATGAAACGCACATCGGCATCGCGTCTTCATGTTGAATGACATATTTCTCTGTGAAGACACACTCAGAGCAGTACTAGTGGTCCACTCAGTCACAACTGTATCCTCTAAAAAGGAAAGAACTCGAGAGAAACTTGCTGGAGGGGAGCAACGTGCAGTTCCTGCAGGACATGACGACCAGAGACACCGCCGAGGCACCAAAAATCAAATCCCGCATACTGTCGTGTTTTGGCCACGACGTGAACGCTGAAAAACCAAGGGAGAATCAACTTTAAGGCTTGGTCTGCTTTCAATCCACCTTTTCTACTACTACGTTTATTTTAGAGAAAGAGTCTAAGGGTGGAAAAACTAAGTCTAAGGGAGGTCCTCCCAAGATAGAACATTCCAAGAGACAGCCTCCCAGGATAAGGTAGATCTTCTAAGAAAAGACGATCGAAGATTTTCTAATATTTGATGCCCTACATAGATCTTCTAATATTTGATGCCCTTGGATCCAACAGCTGCAAAATCAGTAGAGTGCGAGCTGTGGCCGACCAATTTCTGGAGCATTGTCAAGAGCATCCCGAAGGTGACAAAACAGCACATCCTCGCGTCTGAGAAAATGAAGGCGATGCGGGAGACCTGCGATGCGGCGGGCATGGCGGCGAAGGTAGACGGAGTGATCGAAAATTATTCAGTCGCTCTTGAGTCAGCACGGAAGGGAGCTCGTGGCGTGCTGAAACTGAAAGTGAACCGCTACGAGAGACTCCGTGGCTTCCTCACGTTAAGGCTTCTGTGTGGACGAGATCCCTCAGCAGTATCTATCTTCTCTATGGACGAGTTCCCCCCCCTTCGCTATGGACGAGATTCCTCAGCAGAAGTATGTTTATGTATAGGCTTCCCCCTAATCCCCCTTCTCTATGGACGAGATCCCTCAAGAGAAGTATCTCTAGGCTTCCCCCTATTCCCCCGTCTCTATGGGCGAGATCCCTCAGCAGAAGCATCTATGCACCCCGAACAAAATACAATGGCGGAGAGACAGAGACCACTGGCGGAGAGACATAACTTAATTACTTACGAGGGATTTCCATGCGAGCAGGGATGGACTGAGGGAGGCTCTAAAGACGATGTCGGTCCTCCCGAAGTTGGATAAGCTACACAGGCGCAAGGAAGTAGTCACCAGAATCAAAAATTACGTTGATGACCTCGCATCCATCAACGCAAACCCAAAGCCGCCTGCACCAGTTACGGCTTGATGATTTGTACTATGTACACCTCTTGTATTTGTTTTTGAATTTCTTGTATGTTTTATTTTATTCACGGCTTAGTACGTTACTGTACGCTTCTTGGAAGAAATTCCTCGGGGCCTGGTCTCAGCGCTGGTTTGGAAAATCAGATTGGAGACACATGACATGACATTAGTACCGCAAGATTCAGGAGTTCTACTTGTAGTTATATTAGGTGAGGCTCTCTAGAATAAGTACAAAAGTAGATGAGGAGGAGGAGCCTGCTCTCTTCTTCGTCTTCTAATGCATTTGCTGACGTGAAGATCCTGCCGGCTACGGCGCTGCTAAAGGATTACAAGACCCTCCTTGAGCCCCAGTTGGAGACTTTGCGCCAGGAGATACAGACCACCTATTTGGTGTCAGACTCGATCTTGTCAAACTTAAGGCTAACTTTTTGCTATCGAACCCAGGTGGATGTGGACTATGAATGCTGAGCAGTCGAGGGCTGCTGCTCCTTGGTTTTCTATTATAAAGGGGAAGCATGTATGTGTAATTACAATTTTTGACATAGGGGCGGAAAATCCAAATTAATGGGATCTCACTCAAGTCAACTCACTCAAAGGACTCAAGCCACTCAGTCAACAGTACAACGCAACATAGTGCGTGAAGAAAAACTAGCGCTAACGAAAGTCGATGCCTCCAAAGAAAGGGGGAAGAAGAAAGCGGAAGCATTCAAGCTGATCAAGGACAAAGAGTATCGTAAAGCGGACGACACAGCTAAGGCTCGGTCTTCCTTCTTGATCACTGAGTAAAAACTTAATGTTGATTGACTTACTTATGAATGATCATTTGATACAATCAATTCTTCAAGTTCAATCTAGCTAAAAAGTATTTCGATTTACTGGGGTCCCGTTTTCAACCTCGTCTACTCAGAGAGTGGTCTTTCGCATCACCTTGATGACGAAGCACCTTGAGAGAACAAGGAAAATCTATGGGCGGAAAGTCATAATCTAACTATATCTATATGGAGTCGACGCCTGTAGTAGAGCCAAGATCTTCATCGTGGAGCCCTCATTTCGTCCCTTCAGAGTCACCAGTGACCAATAACTTCTGACCTCTAACACGACGCGACTCGCAGGACAAGAGCTAGTCTCATGGATGCCAGACGCAGACGAGCATAAGTGGAATCCATCGACGTCGTACTCGGATTCTCTCTTTTTTAAGGCTTCTACCTGATGTAATCCAAATCTTCCAACTACTCTAGTATTGGGACCGACGTGAGGAAGACTTCTAAACCAAGAGCCGTATAAAAGATACCGACGAGAGGGAGACTCGTCAACCACGAGCCGTATAGAACTAGAAGATACCGACGAGAGGAAGACTTCTCAACCAAGAGCCTGATAGAAGATACACACACGACCCAAAAAATAAGTTAATACAAGCCAGATAGAGGACATGGAGGAAGAGGACTTCTAATTTTGCCCAGCAGCCGGATCTTAGCTGGAAGTGGAATGATGCAGCGTCTTGTGAGAACGATGAGGACGCGAAAGAAATCATATCTGATTCAGTTAAGGTCCTAAGTAAACGACCCATAGACATAATATTGAGCCATCTTCTTTCACTGCTAGCATTTTCCTGAAGCTCCTGTCCTATAGCCATTTGAAGGGGAAAGAAGCAGGACCAAGAAGATGCACTATCTTAGAATTTATTATGGATAGAAAGGGTGAGCTCCAATTCAGCCGTTTGCGAGAAGAAGTGGCGCGGCTGGTGGCCGGAGCTTGTCTCATTGGTGCCCAAACTTGCAGACGCAGTGGAAGGAGGCGGAAAGGGTGTGCGTGTGCATGTTGCGTATTGTGCTCTCGCGGCATTTTTCGAACTAGAATGTTACGCATGGGATTCGATTCATAAGATGGCCCGCGAACAATGTTAGTGCATATATTGACGCGCCTGGGTCCTTGCAGCAACTTGCGAGACTTTGACGCACATGAAAAACATGCAGAAACCTCAGGAACCTCATAGGTGTGCCGCATGACTCAGGGAAACCTTGGGGAGAGACTTGGCTGGTACTTATCGGCATCAACATGCGCCAGAGTCATAGACAGCCAGCGCGGTGGATCTCTGGCTTTCATGTTTTGACTCTGAAGAACTTGGAAATCGCCAAAGTTCACACAATGAGATAATCCGGCCTTGGAGTAGCTTCGGCCTACTGTGGGGCCAGTTTCTTTGTGTTCTTTTTCCACTTTCGGAATTCCTTGCAACATAGAAAAAGCAAAAGCTTAATGCTTTTCAGCTTTTAAGCTTGGGCGTTCATTTGTTGGATTTATTGAGGTCAGTAGTCAAGTCATTGACAGACCAGAACAGCGTAGCTCTTTTTCCTCTTTCTTTGTACTATTTACCTGTTAGAAGTTACTACTTCCCTTTTCGTTGCTGTTTCTTTGTTCTGAGCAGTTCGCATTGACTCCCTCTTTGTTTGAGCAACTGCTCTTCATCTGGCAGAATTTGACTTAGCAGACCAAGCAGTGGAAGTAAAGCCTGGCGTAGGATTTTTATTTTATTAGACAGTGTAGTTAAAACTAAAAGTTCACCACGTTGATGCTACCTCAAGAACAGGTAGATCATAGATATTTTTACCTTGGCCTCTAATATGAGGCTTCGGAAGACGAGGAGGACTTGTGGCAAGCGATCGGCAACATTTTCCCTGTGGCAACCCCCGGCGGCGAATCGGCGGCTGCTTTAGTCTATATGACGAGTTGAAGTAGTCTCCTTAGAAGTCTATAACTATATGACGAGTAGAAATAGAAAGCTTCCTCAATCACATGCCTTCTCCTAATATAATAGTCTTCAATCACATAGTCCCAAGCGAGTTGAACAAATAGAAAGCTTCTACTTCCATTACATTCTTATTCGTATTGCAGTAGACCAAGAATTTGCTGGAAGATCTTGCTGATCTATTCCGTCACTTTTTCAATTTTTACCTAGATATATCCTGGATCCTATTTCTTTGATTAATAGAGACAGCACCGGTCTTCTTCAGGGATCTACTGATGGACAGTCCTCGTGACAGCTTCTCCTGTTATTTCTGATCTGTCGTGGCTCGTCCCCGCCTTGTCAAGATGAATTCACCAAGGGCCCTCGTTAAAGGTTGAGACAATTCATATTTGCCCTCGACATATTTGACACGTTTCGTCTTGAATTATGCGTACAAATCATGCTTCGACCTTCTACGAAATGTATCAACCCTTAACGAGGACGTGGAAGGCGAGGAAGCTTCAAGCGACGAAGCCGCAAGAACAGATCAGCCATCCGGGATGAACTACCTACATCATCATCATTATCATCATTATCATGTCGCACATTCTTCATAGTTGCAACGATGGTCAGCTCGGTGTACCCGTTTGAAGAGGCGGACAGGCAAGCCGCGCCGAAAGAAGGTGTCTCTGCAGGAGTGATCAAAGGACGACAGCAGTTCCTTACGAACGGTGTATTTTTCAAACCGGACCACCTGCAGCAGTGCCAAAACGCCTTGGAGGAAAAAAAATTCTTTCCAGCAGCCAGAGAGGATGCGAGAGACAAGGTTAGGATGTGAAGATGAACAAAGAGTGAGCAGTTACTTATCTAAGTAAGTAGTTCTTGTAATATTATCTACTCATATCTTCTTTGTCGATCAACGTAGTGCCCCCTATTAGGAAAAACAGCCGGTCAGTTACTACAGTTTTTCCCTCGTAGTTCTCCCTTCACGAGTACTATATGTAAATTATACATAGTGACAACATCAGTGGGCAGCTGTTGCTTCTCTTCCTCAAGATAATAATTGGATTGTAGAAGGACCACAAGGAGCACAAGAACTCTTACTATGCGCGTCCTCTAGACTAGGCTCTTCTTCTAATAAGTACTACGTTGGGTACGATACGACGGCGAGAGATGTAGTCAAGGAATTTGGTGAAGCTATCAGCAAGTGCGCGGCCATGCAGGAGAGCTCTCCGTCTCAGAGCAGGGTAAAGGAAGAGGATACTTTCGGATTTTGGTGGAACGTCATCTCCTACGGGGACGTGGACGCAGTACAAGCGTTT